TTTAGTTGATCCTGATAAGCGCTCGTCGTCACATTTGTAAACACGACGGCTTTCTTCTTTCGAGAGGGGGTTTGGCACCACGGCCTCTTTGTTTCCAGGCGAACGTTAAAGAACGCGACATAACACGTCTCCCGGAAATCCTGTATAATTCAACCAATCCGATGACGACTTCGAAACTCCTGAAGTGTTTCCGCTTTTGCATGCATCAGACGTTTAGCCAACGGTCCGTGGGTCGTGATGTCTGCAAGGCTGAGACTAAAGTCAATGTTGCTTAGCCAGCTTGCTCTCCCTATTCATTTAAGCTAAATTTAAATGTGAAATAATGTCTAAAATGTAAAATCAAATCTAAATCATGATTTATGAATATTGTTGTCGTGTTCAATAATATATGATAGTGAAAGATTTTTAGCTTAGACAATATTAGCTTAGCCAGCTTAGTTTTTCACGTTCATGTTCAAGCTAATGTATTCATACATTTAAATGTAAAAATCATGCCTAAAATGTAAAATCAAATCTAAATCATGAATTTATGACTATTGTTGTCAAGTACGTTGGTAATGTGGAGGTACGTTAGTGAAAGTTTAGCTTAGCCAGTGTTAACGTAGCTAGTTTTGGCCTTCCATATTCATGTAGCTAATAGTATCCATACATTTAAATGTAAAAATCATGCCTAAAATGTAAAAATGAAATCTAATTCATGATTTATGACTCAGGTTCATTGGTGATGTTAATGAAAATTAGCTTAGCCAATATTAGCTTCACCAGCTTAATCTTTCCGTTCATTAAAAAGGTATTTGAATATAGTGTTTATACTGACTAAAATAGCTGCCTAGGGGCATTGTTCAAGCTGTATTTGTTTTAAAGCAGATTAGGGCAGGCGATGCTAATTTTCTGAATGTTCTGTTTCGACAGGTTAGTTTTGAGGATGTGATAGCAGAGCCGGTGTCGGTGCGCAGTGGGGATCGGGTGTGGATCTGGAGTCACGCTCTTTTCGAGGTGTCCAGGGCCTGGTTTTATCGTATCATCACTGCTCTGCTGGCTGTTCCAGTGTCCCTCCTCGCTGGGATTCTCTTCGCCGTCCTCAGCTTTGTTCACATCTGGTACGAGTAGATCCTTTGAATCGAATCCATGACCGTGGCATTTTTAGTAGTAGATAAATTGTATCAGATTTTTAAAAGAAATGCTAAGCTTTCACCTTTTTCTTTGTTTCAGGTTCTTTACGCCATTTGTGCAGGTTGTCTTGATTAACACCGGGTGGTTGCAAACTTTATGGAGCAGCGTTTTAGACATAATCATCCTACCCTTCTTCCAAAGCATAGCCAAGTGCTGCAGTGGGATTAGTGTCGTTCTCACACGGGAATGAGAAACATTTCTCTGGAATCTGCTGAATCAATTAAAATGGATATTCACATTGAACTTTTGGGCAAAAGTGTGGCCATCTGACTCCTGGTGCATGTCAAGGGGGACCATGCCCAAATGTCAAGCGTGATGAATGTTAACTCGCTGGCAAAAACTGAGAGGAAGCGGATATTTGGGAATGCATGATGTTTGCTTAGGTATGAATGTAATTTAAAGGGATAGTTCCACCAAAAATGACGATTCAACTCATGTTGTTCAAAACCCATGTTATTTTTTTTCTTCTGTGGAACACAAATGTGGACCACTTTTACAGTGCTTTATATACCACCTTTTATGTTCTAAGGAAGAAATAACGTCTTACAGGTTTGCAATGACGTGAGGGTGAGTAAATTATGTCAGAATTTTCAATTCTCAAAGAACTAGCCCTGTGTGTGTGTACAGACTTTATCAATGTTTTCTTTTTGTCAAATAATTTCTTAATTTCCCACTGAAGGTGCCATAAAATGTGTCTGCAGCTGGTTGGGGTCGAGCCATCCTGCCTTTTGGTAAATGATTATGGTAAAACATATTGCTATTAACATTCGTTGTGTGTTTTGATGACCTGTTTTGCATTGCATTGAGGACTCATTGTGTGTTCTTTGAAGTATTCTCGAAGCCCTTTCATTTGTAAAATAACCAGTTGTTCCCGACTATCCAATTAAATGTGTCACTCATCATATGCAAATATGAGGCCACCAAAAAAATAGTAACAACTGATTCAGTAATATACCGCCCTCTGCTGTAAACAATCAATCTGCCAGTCATTTTAATCTGATTATCTCTATTCTAGCGCACCGTTGAGATTCTATCTCCTTAATGCCATGTTCTTCCTAAAGTGATATTTTAAAGCATATGCAAAATCTCTCAAGGTCTTAAAGTGACAGTTCACCCAAAAATGCACTCTGTCATCATTTAAATCAGGGGTTCCCAAAGTAGGGGTCGGGACCCCCCAGGGGCTGCGAAACCATGAGGAGGGGTCGCAAGATGATTTCCAGAAATCAAATAATTTTCAAAGGATTAGAAATAGCATATTTTACCCATAAATAAAAAATTATAAGTTGAATTAAAAATAAAACTCCAACATGGACTTTTGTACTCCAGCATGTTGCCCACCCAGTGCCGATCCTAGACTTCTGGGGCCCTACGCAAAACTGTGTCGGAGGTGAGGCAGTGAAGTGGGGTATGAGTGGTTATGAACGAATGAATGAAACGCATTTGTCCGTGTTTCATTCCGTCTCGAATCGCACTCGCAGAAAGCGCTTGAGAAACAGTGTCTCTTCCTGCGGCTCGGTATGCTTTCAACTCGTTTTTTTAGTCTCGAACAAGACTGTACGACATTCACATTACATGATTTGACGTGATGAATGTTAACTCGCTGGCAAAAACTGAGAGGAAGCGGATATTTGGGAATGCATGATGTTTGCTTAGGTATGAATGTAATTTAAAGGGATAGTTCCACCAAAAATGACGATTCAACTCATGTTGTTCAAAACCCATGTTATTTTTTTTCTTCTGTGGAACACAAATGTGGACCACTTTTACAGTGCTTTATATACCACCTTTTATGTTCTAAGGAAGAAATAACGTCTTACAGGTTTGCAATGACGTGAGGGTGAGTAAATTATGTCAGAATTTTCAATTCTCAAAGAACTAGCCCTGTGTGTGTGTACAGACTTTATCAATGTTTTCTTTTTGTCAAATAATTTCTTAATTTCCCACTGAAGGTGCCATAAAATGTGTCTGCAGCTGGTTGGGGTCGAGCCATCCTGCCTTTTGGTAAATGATTATGGTAAAACATATTGCTATTAACATTCGTTGTGTGTTTTGATGACCTGTTTTGCATTGCATTGAGGACTCATTGTGTGTTCTTTGAAGTATTCTCGAAGCCCTTTCATTTGTAAAATAACCAGTTGTTCCCGACTATCCAATTAAATGTGTCACTCATCATATGCAAATATGAGGCCACCAAAAAAATAGTAACAACTGATTCAGTAATATACCGCCCTCTGCTGTAAACAATCAATCTGCCAGTCATTTTAATCTGATTATCTCTATTCTAGCGCACCGTTGAGATTCTATCTCCTTAATGCCATGTTCTTCCTAAAGTGATATTTTAAAGCATATGCAAAATCTCTCAAGGTCTTAAAGTGACAGTTCACCCAAAAATGCACTCTGTCATCATTTAAATCAGGGGTTCCCAAAGTAGGGGTCGGGACCCCCCAGGGGCTGCGAAACCATGAGGAGGGGTCGCAAGATGATTTCCAGAAATCAAATAATTTTCAAAGGATTAGAAATAGCATATTTTACCTATAAATAAAAAATTATAAGTTGAATTAAAAATAAAACTCCAACATGGACTTTTGTACTCCAGCATGTTGCCCACCCAGTGCCGATCCTAGACTTCTGGGGCCCTACGCAAAACTGTGTCGGAGGTGAGGCAGTGAAGTGGGGTATGAGTGGTTATGAACGAATGAATGAAACGCATTTGTCCGTGTTTCATTCCGTCTCGAATCGCGCATTTTTTTTAGTTTCGAGCAAGACTGTACGACATTCACATTACATGATTTGACCGATTATTACGTAGAAAGGGCGACAGCGCACCACATTACAAGAAATTATCATTCATGTTTTCATAACCTGCTGGCCAAATCCAAAAACGAAACTAAAATTAAATCATCTTTGAGAGCAAGGGGGCCCCCTGGTGTTTCGGGGGCCCTTTGCAGCTTGCGTATTTTGCATATAGGGAGGATCGGCTCTGTGCTCACCCAACTAATTAGGTAAGATTAATGTTGTTAAATGTAAGTAAAGACTAAATTATATTAAAATAATATTGTTGTTGTTAGACTGTTGTGTTCCTTTGTGTTGTCATATGCTATAAGTGCATGTGCGCCGTTGTGCAAAACGTTTGTAGCGTATACTTTAACCACCTTAGAGGAAAGTGGGGGTCCCGAGGTACTGGCACTGTTATTTTGGGGGTCATGGGGGTGAAAAGTTTGGGAACCCCTGATTTAAATGATTTTCAGAATTTTCATTTTTGGGAGAACTATCCCTTTAACTTAAATAAAACCACTCCACCAGAGCTCAGGGTACAGATGCATCATGGATCTATTAAATAATGGCAATCAAATGGGTGTGTCTGTAACTTAGCAAAGGGAAACACAAACATGGCTGGACTCAACCCGTGAGAATGTGTAGATCCTAAAAACGGTCTGATATACCAGTATGTTTCAATGGATATCTAAAACGTTGCATTTAACAAAAGTTAAAAAGCAGATTTTGCCACCATGTACAGAACATCAACCTTTATTTTCATATAAGGAAGCCATCAATAGAAAATACAAGGAGATAAGTGAATGTTTTCATTAAAGGGAGATGTTTGAGAGTGGGTGGATGTACAAATGGTCGGTGGACCAACTAAAAGCGCGAGTGCATAGAAAAGTGTAACATTTCACAGTCTGAAAACCTGTCAAATAAGGATATTTTTAATAAAGTAAATTTAACTATTTTTAATAAATTACAGAAAATGAATAATCAGAGCTGCTTTGCTGCTTTGTCATGACAAAAATAGTGATTAAACAGATGCAAGAAAGAAAAGATCAAACATAATTCCATATGCAAATAAATTCAAGACAGAATACAAACTGCAACTCAGTATGCAAATACTTTAATGATAAAAGTTTCAATTAAGTTCTTTATTCAAGCAAATCAGGCTAAATTAACTGCAGTAGTTTAATATTTTAATGGATTTAGAGCAAACCTTCCCAAGGAATATCAATAAAAGCTGCAGTATAATTATTGAATTGCATTAATATTCTTATATATAATGGGACAAATAATATTAATTATGATATTATATAGCCATTTCTATCCTTTAAAGAAATTTTAAGAATTTTTAGAAATGTGAGTTTTAAGATGAAGCCTGAACTAAAGGTTTAGCTTGTAAATAACAAAAAATAAAATATTATATATAAAGAAAATAAAAAGGATATGTGTGTGTGTGTGTGTGTATATATATATACTGTATATATATATATATATATATTCGCCAAATATTATTAATATATTTAATGAATTCAATTATTATTAATAGTTATTATTGAGGTAAACAAAATTAATAATCAGGACTGCTTTGCGGCTCTTAAAACTATATATATAATATACTATGCAAATATAGCACTTATTTATTTATTAATCCAAATATAAATGTAAATCTAAATCTAATTAGATATAGATATTAGATAGATTAGATATTAGATATAATCTAATCTAATATTTGCATATATATCACTGCATAGTCACTGCAGATAAAGCCATTAAAAGTCATTGTTATTGCCGTAAAAAAAAAGCACACATACTCTTCTCTCTTTGGGTATTTTGCCCTCAGCTTCTAGTTTGGCACGGGCTTGTCTTCTCTTGAGGATCCTGTGATACTGTTTAGCGTTGACGTACAGAGGTTCCTCTTCCAGCATCTCTGCTCCAGGAAGAGGAATGCGCTGCATGGTGGGAACCGACCCGCCAGCCCCTGGGACCATCTGATGCAATTATGAACACACACAATATGGTTAGGAAGTGTGATCTAAATAGATTAGCTGTATAGCACAAACTCACTTTTGGTAATAGATCAAAATGACCACAAGTGCTCACCATGACCATTCCTCCAGCATTGACCATGTTTCCTGCCATGGGAAGAGTGACCGTCACTGTGCCCTGACCCGTGTTGGTGGTGTTTGTGTTGGATCCAGCTGAGACTAACTGAGCTCCTGCTAAAGATGCAGCTGGAATAGTGATCATTCCTGGACGGACAATCACAAAATGCATCATTTACAAATGCTAATTATTTACATGTCATCAGTAGTGTAAACACATGTATATTTAACTGCTTAAAAGTGCATGATGTTTATGGCTTAATGTTTTCAGAGGAGTAGCAGTGTTACCCTGCTGTAGGATGGTCCCGTCCGCATTAACAGGCTGGTAAACGATGGTCTGTCCTTCAGCAGTTTGTGCTAACTGCTGACCCTGCAGAGTGATTTGCTGCTGACCCTAAGAAAACATTTATCATGAACTTTATTAATAATTTGTATTTAACTGCAAGCTTGCAAAGCTTATAGAGGCTTCTCCTTCATATTTGCACAAAAAGGTGATAAAATTAAGTTACCTGGTTCTGTCCTGCAGTGACGGCAGTCTGTGGCTGTTGAATGATGATTTGTTGGGTCTGTCCCTGCTGACCCTGTAGCTGTAAAGTCTGTCCACCGGGAAGCTGGATTTGACTGGGTTGTACCAGCTGAATCTGTGCCACATTTGGTAATTTCATTACAATTTCATACCCAATATTTTGATGGAACACTACGTTGCAGTGGTTCTCAAACTTTCTGACTGGTTCTTCAAATCAAAAAATGAATGAAGTCTTGATTGTTTTTGTTGTATTGTCTTATTTTAAATCATTTTTATTTTTTAAAACATCTTGGAAGTTTTCTGAAGCCCCCTGGTTGAAAACCACTGCAACAATTCAGTGTGAAATTAGCTACACCCACCTGCTGCAACCCCTGTGTACCAGATACTGGTACTTGCATGAAGGTTTGACCATGTCCTCCTGTCATGGCCTGCACCATTATGGGCTGCCCAGAAGAAGTGATGAGCTGACCCCCGCTGACTTGAACCATAAGAGGCTGCCCTTGAACCTTCAAAGAGGATGCATCGAAAATCTCATTAGTTTTGCAGCAACTTTAAAGATAAATTCCCTCTGAGGCTAACCTTATAAAGCCTAATAATGCACCTTATATAATTATCAGCATGATCAAAACACTGAAAAACCTGTCGTACACGATCTACAGAGCCTTGATCATAAAGCATTTAAATATCATCTTACTAACACATTTATTGGGAGATATAATGTGACAACTGATATTTATATGCATATTATGTAAGCATTACGATATACATTGAGACAATGCAAAACACAGATGCATGCAAGAAAATGCACTGTATGTGAACTTCCGAAATGCAAAAAATTGGTGGTGCAGCTGTTATGTACTTGTAGATTTTATAATGCATTTTGCAAAACAAAGCATGCTAAAAACTCATGCACGTGAGCGTTCTTTGGACACTAAAAGTTCTCGTAAAAAATCATAGTGAGTGAGTGATAAACTGCGACAGATGCAAAAAGCGCACAGGTCACAGATATCTGATATCTTAACATTGCATTCATCATTGTTACAATGCAATATTAGCAAACCGATCTCCATGTAATGCAAGCTGAGATGGCATGCATGGAGATTTGGAGACAGCAGAGGTGCTCAGAGAGCCAACCACTACCTGAAGGACCTGCTGGGCCGCAGTCTGGCCTACCTGAGGCTCAGTCTGCAACTGCACCGCAGTCACTGTGCCCTGGGCCAGAGATAAAGGACTCTCGAATGAGTAAAAACACACATAAAAACATTTCTCCTGTGGTTTTATACCACACCGAGATGCTTTATTACTAGATATATTAAAAATACTAGTCTATGCATTTTTTATGCATCTCTGATGCAAATTTAATAGGGTACTGCATTATCCGCTTCAGATACTGTCGGTAAAGGTCACAAACTACCTGTTGTTGGATCTGTCCGCTGCTGGCCTGCAACACAATCTGCTCTCCACTAGCTGTCGTGGTGGTGGTGTACTGCTCCATGTTTGCCGTGACTGCTGGGGGTTATGGGTAATGTGATCAGCACGGAACTGAAGTCTGAAAAATAGCAACAACAAGTCGTTGCGTAAATCTGAAATGTTATGCAACAGCACATGCATCTAATGCAAGAAGCTTAAAAGAGGATGCTTGACTTAATTACTGGTTTACAACAAACATCATTTTAGTACCAAGTCAGCTTCTTTAAATTTTATAAGACTTTTTTGTAAATTCTCTAATAGCATGTATTAAATTAATTCCCTGTATACATCATGTGTTGTGCTACCTTTGTTTTCTAATACAGCATCTAAAAATTTAGACTTATTTACTAAATTGTTTAGTAAATATTTACTGACTTATTTAGTACTAAAAAGTACCATTGTACATTATTTTAGACTTGTAGCACTATGGTTCTCTTTTTAGTACTATATAAATATAAATGGTTTTAATATGACAATTTTTAGTATCATGGTGTATCCAAGGAATACCAAAACTTTTTTTTGAAAGAGCGTATACTATAGAATCACTTTTGTGATTATTTTTTACTCCCTCTCCCTAAAAAAATATGAAACATGCATGCAAAAAAAAGAAGAAGAAGATTTAATAACCTTTTTGTTGTGTGATTATTAAAGTGTGACACTCTCAATATAATTCTGCTTTTTGTCCTGGATTATTGTTTTTGTTAGCTTAAAAAAAATAAAGAAATAAGGGGTGAAAAAAAAACAGTAAGAAATGAGACAGTGTTCTCAGTTAAAGAAAAACATTTATCGTTTAAAACTTTGATACATTTTCATTCTCAGCTGAGAAGCAAAGGAAAAATATGTTCCTAATCACTAATCAGATTTGATTCTGTACATGAAATATATGCAAATCTGAATTTATTTACACGATTGAAATATAAATGTTGTGCTGAATGACATTACAAGAAAGTAGGACGCATTAAGCTACATAATATCCCATTTCCAGGTGTAAGACCATATTTGTAGTTTTTTTAAGGACAAGAAGATAGCATAGAATCACATGTGTATTAGCTGCTGCAATGTTTGATTATACAGTGATGTAAATATAGGAAACAATAGGCAAAATTATTTCCTATTATTAAAAGCACAAGAAAAACACTGCGTTTGAATTTCAGTGCTAGTTTCTATTACTATCAGTTTCAAGCGTGGCGTCTTCGAATCTCAGACGTTTTTGTTGTGTTGTTTCTCACAAACGAAACTACTTTTTCCTTTAAACAGCACGTTTCAAATGACTACTTAATATTGCAGTACTTATTTGGTGTACATAACGCTATGGTGTCTTGCGTTTTCTCTGTCTAACATTGCTAGCGCTACATTAGCACATCGACCTCAGTGTTTTCATGTACGTTACGAGCGAGTTTTCAAATATATATTTGGTTTAAACCAAATATATATGAATAGTTTGTTTTATTAACTCATCTTTAGTTGATTAAAACCAAGACATCGACCTCTTAGGCACTGTGAAAGTCGACGAATATTTAACAAAGAGCGGCGCAAAACTGGGCCTAATAAATGAGGCGCCAGCTCGGCGTAACGGAAAAACAATAAAAATGAACCATTTATCGACACTGTTTATCATTTAATAACCACATAAGCGATAAACGCGCGCACGCCGTCCACACAGTGGACCTTGACATACACAAACAGCACTATTCCTGTTTATAATGCTTTTAGTCATTTGGTTGGTCGGTCACACACCAATCCCCAGCTAACCGACCGAGTCCCGTCCCCTCCCAGCAGCCGCGCTCACTCACCGTCTGCGCCGCCGCCCGATGCACCTCTGATTGGCTCCGATAGTGGCGCCTGAGCCCAATCACATGACGCGTCTCGCTCAGTAGCCAAAATGGCGCACTTGTAAAAAAAAACCCCGCGATGAACAGTAGCTCAAACGCCCCTCCTACAAGACAAAGGCCACGCCCCCTCTCAACCTCTGCATGTCTCTGACCAAAGCAAAATAGAAAGAGAGAAATAATATATTACATAAAAATAAACAGAGAAACATTTAAAATAAATGGTAACACTTTACAATAAGGTTCCGTTAGTTAATGTTAGTTACTGTATTAACTAATATGAACAAACAATGAACAATACATTTATTACAGTATTTATTAATCTTTGTTAATGTTAATGAAAATACAGCTCATGTTAATTCACAGTGCATTAACTAATGTTAACAAGCACAACTTTTGATTTTAATAATGCATTAGTAAATGTTGAAATTAAGTAAGATTAATAAATGCTGTAGAAGTAGTGTTCATGCTTAGTTCATGTTAACTAAAGTAAAGTGTTACCAAATAAATATATAAAATGTAAGAATAAAACCTGTAGGCATACATAAAAAAAAACAAAGAAAAATAAATAATTGCTGAGGTTAATGAATAAATGCAAAAAAAATAACAAAAGAATTCACTGAATTCAGGACGTTTTAATTTTTACTTTATTAGATGACTTATGTATAGGTTTGCATGATTTTTTTTACATTTCTAAATTGGATGAATGAACAATCCATTAAAACTGTATATAGCTTGTAGAATGGCAAGAAAACCCAGCTATTATACTTTTACAGCAGCAAACAAAATTATTCTATTACTGTACAGTTTGTTTTATTAACATTTTATTCAATAAAATAAAATATCATGAATAGGACAGTGTTCTCTAAGTTAAGTATTTTGTTCATGTGATATTCTTATTTTCTAAATTGAGAACAAAAAGGAAAATCTGTTTATAATCAGATTTATATAAATATAAATGGTTTTAATATGACAATTTTTAGTATCATGGTGTATCCAAGGAATACCAAAACTTTTTTTTGAAAGAGAGTATACTATAGAATCACTTTGGTGATTATTTTTACTCCCTCTCCCTAAAAAAATATGAAACATGCATGTAAAAAAAAGAAGAAGAAGATTTAATAACCTTTTTGTTGTGTGATTATTAAAGTGTGACACTCTCAATATAATTCTGCTTTTTGCCCTGGATTATAGTTTTTGTATGCTTAAAAAAAAATAAAGAAATAAGGGGTGAAAAAAAACAGTAAGAAATGAGACAGTGTTCTCAGTTAAAGAAAAACATTTATCGTTTAAAACTTTTGATACATTTTCATTCTCAGCTGAGAAGCAAAAGAAAAATCTGTTCCTAATCACTAATCAGATTTTATTCTGTACATGAAATATATGCAAATCTGAATTTATTTACACGATTGAAATATAAATGTTGTGCTGAATGACATTACAAGAAAGTAGGACGCATTAAGCTACATAATATCCCATTTCCAGGTGTAAGACCATATTTGTAGTTTTTTTAAGGACAAGAAGATAGCATAGAATCACATGTGTATTAGCTGCCTGCAATGTTTGATTATACAGTGATGTAAATATAGGAAACAATAGGCAAAATGATTTCCTATTATTAAAAGCACAAGAAAAACACTGCGTTTGAATTTCAGTGCTAGTTTCTATTACTATCAGTTTCAAGCGTGGCGTCTTTGAATCTCAGACGTTTTTGTTGTGTTGTTTCTCACAAACGAAACTACTTTTTCCTTTAAACAGCACGTTTCAAATGACTACTTAATATTGCAGTACTTATTTGGTGTACATAACGCTGTGGTGTCTTGCGTTTTCTCTGTCTAACATTGCTAGCGCTACATTAGCACATCGACCTCAGTGTTTTCATGTACGTTACGAGCGAGTTTTCAAATATATATTTGGTTTAAACCAAATATATATGAATAGTTTGTTTTATTAACTCATCTTTAGTTGATTAAAACCAAGACATCGACCTCTTAGGCACTGTGAAAGTCGACGAATATTTAACAAAGAGCGGCGCAAAACTGGGCCTAATAAATGAGGCGCCAGCTCGGCGTAACGGAAAAACAATAAAAATGAACCATTTATCGACACTGTTTATCATTTAATAACCACATAAGCGATAAACGCGCGCATGCCGTCCACACAGTGGACCTTGACATACACAAACAGCACTATTCCTGTTTATAATGCTTTTAGTCATTTGGTTGGTCGGTCACACACCAATCCCCAGCTAACCGACCGAGTCCCGTCCCCTCCCAGCAGCCGCGCTCACTCACCGTCTGCGCCGCCGCCCGATGCACCTCTGATTGGCTCCGATAGTGGCGCCTGAGCCCAATCACATGACGCGTCTCGCTCAGTAGCCAAAATGGCGCACTTGTAAAAAAAAACCCCGCGATGAACAGTAGCTCAAACGCCCCTCCTACAAGACAAAGGCCACGCCCCCTCTCAACCTCTGCATGTCTCTGACCAAAGCAAAATAGAAAGAGAGAAATAATATATTACATAAAAATAAACAGAGAAACATTTAAAATAAATGGTAACACTTTACAATAAGGTTCCGTTAGTTAATGTTAGTTACTGTATTAACTAATATGAACAAACAATGAACAATACATTTATTACAGTATTTATTAATCTTTGTTAATGTTAATGAAAATACAGCTCATGTTAATTCACAGTGCATTAACTAATGTTAACAAGCACAACTTTTGATTTTAATAATGCATTAGTAAATGTTGAAATTAAGTAAGATTAATAAATGCTGTAGAAGTAGTGTTCATGCTTAGTTCATGTTAACTAAAGTAAAGTGTTACCAAATAAATATATAAAATGTAAGAATAAAACCTGTAGGCATACATAAAAAAAAACAAAGAAAAATAAATAATTGCTGAGGTTAATGAATAAATGCAAAAAAAATAACAAAAGAATTCACTGAATTCAGGACGTTTTAATTTTTACTTTATTAGATGACTTATGTATAGGTTTGCATGATTTTTTTTACATTTCTAAATTGGATGAATGAACAATCCATTAAAACTGTATATAGCTTGTAGAATGGCAAGAAAACCCAGCTATTATACTTTTACAGCAGCAAACAAAATTATTCTATTACTGTACAGTTTGTTTTATTAACATTTTATTCAATAAAATAAAATATCATGAATAGGACAGTGTTCTCTAAGTTAAGTATTTTGTTCATGTGATATTCTTATTTTCTAAATTGAGAACAAAAAGGAAAATCTGTTTATAATCAGATTTTATTCTGCATTTTAAATATATGCTGCTCTCATTCTATTTACACATTTGAAAATACAAATGCTGTGGTTTGACATTAGCCAACTGCTGTTTATTGACCTTGTAGGTTTCTCAGTACAGTGCAAAATAAGGAACAGGGTTGTTTTTGCACCTGCTGTAATAAGAGACGCATTACCCCTCTGAAAGTCTTTATGAATTCAGTTCACCTTGGTGCATCAGGGTCAAGAACCCACTTGATTCAAGTCAAGCCAATGAGCGTGGACTTCAAGAAGAGTTTTTTTTCTTTTATTGTTGCTGGCAATCACATTTAATGGTACAGCATTTTACACTTTGACTTCAGAAAAGCCATGTTCATCCATCTCAAGCCTGAGGACCCTGCTTTCAACATGCAAACCCATCAATGAAATGTGTGGTCCACTGTTTTCTATAACCCCTGAGGTATCTATTTTATTATCTGTGCAAAAAAAAAAAAAAAGTTTTTTAATCAGCTTAGTGACTACAAATGAGCTTATTTAATTGTTGAAAATCAATACAGACCAAAAAATATACATTTTCATATTTGATTAGGCTGCTAACTAGATGCACTTAGTATTGTCGATATCCTAATGAAGGATGAGTTGTTGAAAAAACAAAACACTTAATGTCATAGTTAACATTAAAAGTGTCGTCTTGTTATTGAATATACAATTATTGCTGACTTAGCAAAAAGGTCTCGGACTGATACCACATTGCTATTGTCTCTAAGACCCATTATGTAAGGTCAGGCATTTTAAGATTATTAAAAACCACACAATTGAAAGTAGGAAAGGAAGAAGAATGTATCATTATTCGTGCATAGAAGATATGTCAATCTAAGCACACAGCAATGGCAGGGAACCAGACAGAACGCAAAGTAAAATTAGTTTTTTGGAATGACTAAAGCTTTGCTAAACTAGATTCTTGAAGATCCAAACTGTAATACTCAGGATGTTAGTATAATAAAGCCTACAAGCTCTACAAACAAGGCTCGGTGTACATCTATGGTGAAACTCACAAATGAAACCTCCAGGGAATGTTAAATATTACCTTTAAACACTTCATATTCATCTAGATTTGCTCACACAGTAACTCTTGAAATAATGAGCAGGCTATTTTCTGAAGATGCTTCTATTTATACAATGGATTTCAAAAGCAGACTTTAAGGAGACCTGTTTTCCTAATATGAAAAACAAAGCTGAAAATCCTTTGGAGAATTTAAATACCTGATGCAGGAAACCAGCAATGAAAAAAATAAGCACTTACATCAGTTTTAACCACACTTCAAAGCTCATGTCTGATGTATCCTCTTTTCCCTAAATTATACTCCAATTATGCCTTCAAAGTACTACTTAGTTAAATAATACTCCTCAGCCATTTGATTTTGTGCATCAACTCGCATACATTTGAAATATATGGCAACAAAACTGCTTCAAATCCTTTGTGCATCGCAAAAACATAATACGAAATGATTCAAAAAGATTGAAACTCTTTCAGCAGTGGATTAGAAAACTCCTTTGGGAGAAGCTTTTGGGAAAATGCATGTTTTTCTCTATTTCTGTCCTTGCAGTCAAATCCTGCTGGGCTGAATCGCTGAAAATGTGTCCCCAAGTAGCCAGAAACAAACTGATTGGGCAGAATGTGTCTCATGTGTGCTGGAACGCAGATACACACACATAGAGAGGGTCATGGGAAGGGCAGGCATTGTAGTTTCTCTCTTTTAAAACAGTCTTATGATGATCCATCTGTCTGTCACTCTAGGAGGTCCTACGGAAGTCAAAAATACAATGACAGGATTAATTCAGACATTGCTGAAATGAAATATTGCGTCTTTAGCAGTGAGATGCAGTATGTACCTCATCTGAATCATCATGGTATTGTATCTTGCCAACCTCCAGTGTGTCCAGGTCATCCACACCATCGATACCGTTAGCTTCAGCGTGCTGCTGTAATACAGAGTACCTGTGCACCAAGAACCTATCAAAACATTAAAAAGAAGCCATGAGACAGATATCTGACAGGTAAATGCTGCATAGGAAAAAAAAAAGAAAAAAAAAAAAGACTTTGCTCATATACTGCATGAAAAAACAATCATATAATAATAACAACATTATTTTTTCTGGTACAAAATCAGCAATTAATTCAATATTAATATAAAATAATATTTTAAAGCACAATTAACATTTAAAAATGGACACAGATCATGCACTGCTGTGTGTGACGTTTTGGAAAATGGGGCACAAACCGTCCTCCACAGACATATTTTTTGATGAAAATAACCCCAGCAACAGCACTGATCAACAGAACAGCGATGACCACAGCGATTATAGGAGCTGAATTGAATGAATGTTCCTCTGTCTGAAAAATGCACAATGGGAAAGATCATTATGCTGCTTTTTTCAAACAAGCTTAACAAAATTCTCAGTTTCATGGTTATCATATTTAGAAAAGATGCATTAAATTGTTAAAAAGTGACAGTAATGGCATTCATATTGTTACAAAAGATCTTTTTGAGCAGTTCTTTTAAACTTTCTATTCATCAAAGAACGAAAAAAAACATTTATTGTGGGTTCCACAAAAATATTAAGCAGCACTGCATTCAACATTGCTAATAATAATAATACATATTTATTGAGCAGCAAATCAGCATATTAGAATAATTTGTGATCAAAATTCAGCTTTGCCATCAGAGGAATAAAATACTAAATTTCAAAATAAATTCAAATATTAATATTTCACAATAGTACTGTTTTTACTGTATATTATAACATTAATAATAATATAAAAACCTACCAGTAGCTCTGTCCTCAGCAAATTACTAACGCATTTCTTACTCAGATCGATCTCTTTTCGTTCTGGAGTTATTCCTCCTTTACAGTGATCCCCAGGAATTTTACGGTAACTATGGTCACAGAAAGGGGAATGTTAACACTTTGTTTACAGCATTTAAGTAATTCTATGACAAAAACATGAACTCATACACAACAATTTTGCATATGCGAACCAGTTCAGTCAATCAGGCTCACAGATTTTCTAAGAAGTATATATTCAGCAATGCATGCAAAAATAGCTTACACCTGCTGAACGTTTCAATACAACTCCGTGGAGTGGAAATAGAGAGTGATTTGTTACCCGCTGGTCTGGAGCTGCTCTTTGCGTCCGTGCAGGCAGAACTCCAGTGAATGGCCAATAAGGTCGGGCTGCTCCACACAAACTGAGCTGTTTTCCGCATGGTAGAACCCAAAGTCACTGCAGGAAAAGAGAGACAATGATTGGAATCACAGACTGAATGTACGTCATGAATAGTATAAATGAATCACATTGTAGTTCACTGAGTGTATTTGAAAAGTCGGTATGTGTTCGTACCACTGAAAGTCAGTGAGGGTGCAGGGACATGTCGTGGGCTCCTTGGTGACAATGTAATCCCACCCGTTCCAGCACACTGAGTCCTTTCGTAACCGCAAAAACCTTTCCTTGTATCCCAGCATGCACCCATCAGTGGGGTCGCTAATATCGTTTGAGTGAGCGAGCCACTGGATGTAGTCATTTTCCTGACCTGCAGCAGTAGTATTTGGTCATTTCAGGACAATGTTTACCCCTTTTCTGAATGTTAACAAATGCATGCACAGCAAACTGGATTCTGTGTGTTTTTATATTAGTTTATGAAATGCTTTTTCGAAATATTAGACCGCTCACAGTCTCTAGAGAGCAAATGCCTGAAGTCGACGGTGACAGAAACCCAGTACTGATTCAGGACAGTTTCCCTGTAGCCCCACAGGCTGACGTTCATGGAACGGGCACCAGGTTCTGATGCCAGCCCAGTGAAGTACATTGGATCATCAGTGAAGTTATGCACATGCCAACACTGACCTTCATCAGTGGAAAACCTAGTGACAATAAATAATAGAAATAAACAAAAATGGAAGAATTAAATACAAAATAATTATAAAATGTAAATAATTAAAACATACATACACATACATTTATTTTTATATATTAATTTAAAAAATCATAAAGCGATTATCCTTATTTGCACTATTTATATTTATTTATTTATTTAATTTAATACTAAATCAGTTGCATTCTTACCTATTTTCAAGACATAACCATTTAAATAAACAGGGCACCACCAGTGTTTCATTTGTTATATTATCTTTGGAACATTTATCTCACATGCTGAGGTCAAAGCCTTATAAACATACAGAAATGTTAGACAGAAAGCTCACTTGATCTGTGATATGGGGTGTGAGGGGTTGTGTTCCACCGCTACCAGCAGTCCTCCTGAATCTAGTATGGCATAGTGATGGGGGCCTTTTAGTGCCTGAAACCATGTGTAACCCCCGTCATCAGACACATACACGTCTGGAGAAAGCACAGAAACTGCACCTCCCACACTCCCTGATGAAAGAGCAGATGGAAAAGAGACGCGAGTCGGAGAAAAGCAGCAGTCCTGTAAAACTCCCAATCATACCATAAAAGAGTGCTTAAAATAATAACATAATCTAAAAATTATTATTATAATAACAATAATAATATAGTTATATATTCTAACTAATTTTAACTTCAATTCTGTAGTTGGAGGAACTAAACACAGTGGATTCGTCTTCAATAAAAATAAAATTAAATAAAAAAATAAAAATCTCTGTATTATTCACACAGCTGGAAGTGATGAAAATGGTTATTTGAAGGTTTACACTGAATGGGAGTCAGGGATCGTTTTGCCTCATAGAAAGACATGTGATGGAGAATGTGGGCGGTAATCACCATGTGCCAGGATGAGTCCCACGGCATTGGGCTCTGAGAGGGGCTGCACGGGGACGTTCAGTTTCATTGAGATGCTGTAGGAGGCATGAATATGCAGACTACACTGCAGAAGACAGAGATGCATATGAGATTAACATGAAATCACACACATTTACACACATAGTGCTTTTTTCAGTAACAAAATGAATATTAATAAATGTGTATGCATCAAATATCAAAGGGATAACTCATCCAAAAATGAAAATTTGCTCACCCACATGTCTATCTATGCAGGATCAGAAAGCTCTCAGATTTCATCAAAAATATCTTAATTTGTCTTCCAAAGATGAACGGAGTTCTCACGGGTTTGGAACGACATGAGGAGGGCGAGTAATTAATCACCGAATTTTCATCTTTGGGTGAACTAACCTTTTAAGTTAACATCATTAACATATCCACAATAATAGTTCATAACAGTCCCTTGGGAAGAGGCCATTAACGAGGCCTTTGAAAGAAAGAAGCTGTGATATGCCAACTTGGCAGCTGAGGCAGAGGTGTGGGGCTGGACAGTGAAAGTATACCCGGTGGAAGTGGGCTGCAGGGGCTTTGTGGCTAGCTCCACTATAAGGCTGCTGAAGGAGTTGGGCATCAGAGGACAGGTCCAGCGGAGGATAGTCGGGGAACTGGCCACTGTCGCTGAAAGAAGCAGCCACTGGCTGTGGCCGAAGCGGATGGACACAGTGTGGGCTGCCAAATGACCATGTAACAAAGTGACACACACCCGGGTCTGATCAGCCTGTGGTGGGCCTGCCTCGGCTGAGGATGTCTTGTGATAAAGCGCCGAAAAACCCAATGAGGCTGGGGTACACAACTGATGATGTGTTGCATTGGTGGAAACACCATACAAAGGTCATTGGCAACATCACCTCAACAAAAGGCATCTTTCATCCAGGCTAAAGTTCGCACAGAAACTGGGTTCTGATGGACATCGGATAAGGCGTCTCACTGGCAACATCCATGAAAGATAAGTACACATCATGTACAGCATAACATATTCAAAACGTCAAGAATTGTACTGTCTTCATCTATCCATCTTACCATACTAGTACTTTTTTTATTGTTCCCCAGTCACGCATAAAGCAATTGTAAATTCACGACTGATTATCGGGTATTGAGGCAAAAACCACGGACATGGATTAGGCCATCATCCCGGATTCTTGCTGAACCAAAATCAGAGCGTAACAATTGCTGCATCTCGCTGTGTTCTGCTCAAAATGTTCTATGGTGCGGCTAAATGGTGCTGAATATTGGGATCATAACACCTAGTCCTATCATGCAAACAAACACAAGAGAAGAGGAAACTTTGAAGCAAGAAACACTGAAAGCATTTTAAAAAGTTTACATTTTTATTGCGGTATCGCCACAATTAATTTATATTGTGGTATCTTTGTGCCAAGTGTTTTAACTCGGAGGAAGCGTATTAACTATTCTAAGAACAGTAATAATGACTCTGTACAACAAATGCTGGACATTTGTTATACTGTGATACTGTATATTGTCAATTTGTCCTTTTATGGTCAACGAGACCAAATGTTTGCAAGTTGTGTGCTGTTCTTAATGTTTACACACAATAAACACAACAGTCCTCCAAAAAAGTTCAGTTTAATAACGGCATTCTGTATTTATGGTGGATTTTCCTTTGATGACTTGCAACTGTCCTGCTCATGGACACAATCGTGATTTCTTACTAGTTGTTTTTTTTAGGGGAACAAACCAGAAACCTTTTGATTACTGGCTCTACTACACCGCACTACATGTTTTCAATGACTTATGTCTAAAATAAAGTTGTGGCTATGTCATTTCTGTGAGGCTCTCACCTTGTCTGGGTACTCGGTTGTGGAGTCACAAACTCCGTTCCAGGGTCTCTGCAGTGGTTGCCACTCTCCACCTTGATTAAATGTGATCACTGTCTGCACAGAGCCATCTGGAGAGGGAAGATACACAACAGCAAATATGAGACTTATAGAAATTCTTCCTAAATGTGTTATGATTACAGTCACAGCCTTACCCACAGCGAGCACACTGGTCATATATACGCCCCTCAGAGAGGTGATGTTGGTGAAGTCAGTGTCTCCGCCTGTAGTGGTGTACAAATGGCGCTCCAGAGACGTGGAAAACACTGTACCTCGGTCATCCGAAACATATATGGTACCAATACCGGAGTCTGATGGAGAAAAAACAATTGCTAGTAACCAGGTTCTGATGAGGTCAAAGTTACAAATCATATATTCATATAATATTGGCTGGCCAGGAATATTATATGCATAGCACAGAAAACTCATTGTATTAACAGTCATCTTTTTTTCACGTTTCCTCATTTTTAAGTTTTTTTTTCAAAACATATACAAAATCCAAACCAGTGCTGTAATTGTTACCAAAATCTATAACTATTAAAACAGTTTGCATTCATTGAAATAAAGCTGAAATAAAAAAAAGTGCAAATATTAGGCAAAACTTTAGAAATGTGGCCTTAATTCATTGTAGCAAAATAAGTTGAAGCTGTAGTACTAAAATTACTAAGATTAAAACTTAAATACAAATAAATTAAAGCTAATTAGAAATATAAAATAAACTAACTAATAAAAATTTTAAAGCATATAAAAAATAAAACTTAAACTAAAATTAAAACTGAAAATATCAAAATAAAAGCTAATTTGCTAAATAAAAGCTACAGCTATTGCTGTAAGTACTATAAAAGTATAAAAATATAACTAAAATAACACTGATCCAAACCTCAGACCTAAGTAATATAAATATCTGAATATTGCATAGAAACATTATTACTTCATATACTGGAGATTTATTTTGCTGAACAATAAAACTTCGCTTCACCTCCAGGTTCATCTACGTGCATGAAGACCATATCGTAGTTTGCGGCTAGAATGGAGTAGAACTGCTCGTGTCCAACGGTGGGCAGTTGAGCCATATCCCACGTCTCCCCCTGATCTACCGAGACATGAATCATGCGTTTGGAACCCTGAAAATAAAAGAAGTGTTTCTGACATCTGCATGTGATTTCAACCTCACACGACACACTATACAGCTCTAGTCAAACACCTAATAAGACGCCTGGCTATATACATAGACAGCATTTAATATATATCAAAATATATAAAAACACAAAACAGTTATTTTAAATGGTAAGAGTTTACTGTATTTTTGATCATATAAGTGCAGTCTTGGTGAACATAAGAGACGTCATTCAAAACATTAAAAAAAAAACTTGCCATGCAGCCCCAGGCTTTTGAACAGTAGTGTATATGTAATGATTTTGGTCAAAAGAAAGTATCTATTTTATATTAAATGTTATCTAAGTAGGCAGCAAACAGAATTGTACACACTACATCGAAACTAATGGGAGAACTCACAGAGTCGGTCATGACTGAGGCAAAAACAAAGCGTCCACCCAGGCCGAAGGAATAAATCCTGCTTCCTATAGTTTTGAATGTTTTGCCATAGTCTAAAGATTTTCTCAATTCAAGTGTTCCCCGGTCACCTGAAAGACGAATGAGGAACAGCCAGCATCAATTTCCAATATTGTGCAAATGATCCTGAAAGTTGTACTAAAATAAAGTCACTCACTGCAGGATCCATTGGGGTTTGTGGTTAAGAATATGGTGTCATCCATTCCCCTGAAATGACAGGCAAACAGATGCAATGAAAAATGTCCATCTAGCCATCCCAAATTCACCACTGCAAACAAAAGCCATCTCTGTTAGGGATGGTTCAGAGCTAGCCAAAGGCCTCCGTTTTTTCAGTGTATGAAATCAAATGTAATGAAGATATATTTATGAGTGCTAGGATTGTAAAACTCAAGGAAATTGCTTTATAATGCATTTAATGGTGCTTTTTTTTTGTCCTTTTTGGAGCCACACATGTTTGCTGTATGAAAAACAAAACCTTAAACATTCTGCCTAAGGGATTTTGTTTTTGAGTGAACAAAGTAAATGATTCTGGTTTGGAATGACATGGGTCTCTTCATGGCTATTTCAAAAACCATATGCTACATGAAAAAGCTCTAATTTGATGTTTAGATAAACAAACAGAATGAAATATGTTCTCGTGTGAGAACTGTAACCTCAAACTAATGTACATTATAAAAATGAAATTGAAATAGATCATGCTTCATTTGACAGTCAATAGAAATGACCGGTTATTAAAATACTTAAACCTAAATTAGCTCTAGGCAGCGATGAGATTCAAATATATAAATCAGAAAGCAGTTGGACACACAGTGATCAATCACAATGAAGAACAAAAAAGACTTTTTGGATGAAGAACTCTTGCATATTGCACATAAAAATATCAAGATCTTTTTTTAAAGATGCATGCTCCAATTTCCAGCAGTCAGGATCGATGCACAGTTTTTCTTAAAGTGGGAGGAAAATCGTATTTACAAGTTACCAGACAGCAGGGTTTCTTACAATAAATCTTGGAGATAGATTAAAAACTTACTTAGAAACAGCTAAGCAAGCTAATCATTAGCATATCTTGTTAGCATCCTGAGTTATACAAAATTGTATATTTAGCTGTCACTATATGTGGCATAAAAAGCAAACTGGTCAATCAGATGGTCAAAGTGGGCCAGAATTAGCTGCAATATGGCCCAGACCTTGCCAGCAGTCAAAACTCTGGCTACAACTCTGAGACAACTGTTACTGATTCATTTATGCATATTTATGGACATACCATTTCACAAGACAAACAGTCTCATGGATCTTCCTCCAGTTGGCCCCGAAGTCCTCAGACAGCCATAAATCATACTGAAAAAAAGAATAAAACCGTATCAGTACATGTTCTTTTGCACAAAACAGTAAGGAAATGTCTAATCAGAGGTCTTACATTGATGCTGTAGACCATGAGTATGTTGCTGTCTCTGGGGTTGTATGTGATCTGCATTAACGGATGGAAGGGTAGCTCAGAGGTCACAAAGCTCTTGCCGAAATCAACAGAACGGAAAATTTTAGTGACTCTCCCCTCGGTTAGATCACCTGTGAGGATCACCTGTGGGACAGATCATGAACCTGTTCAGTAACTAATCAAAAAATTATTGAAGTGCAGGAAACTTGGTAAACACACTTATAAAGGAAAGAGAAGCATTTAAAAGCAGAAGCATAAAGCTTGAATTTTTGCTTAAGTATTTTTAGTTTAAAACAAAAAAACACTACACTTCCAAAGTTTGGGGTTGGTGAGACTTTTTTAATGTTTTTGAAAGTATTTTATGCTCACCAGGGCTGCATTTCTTTGATCAAAAATACAGTAATACTGTAAAAAAAATATTAGCATTTTAAAAAACTGTTTTCTATTTTAATATATTTTAAAATGTAATTTATTCCTGTGATCAAAGCTGAATTTTCAGCATCATTACCCCAGCCTTCAGTGTCACATGATCCTTCAAAAATCATTCTAATATGCTGATTTGCTGCTCGAGAAACATTTCTTATTATTATCAATATTGAAAAGCTTGTGCTGCTTCATATTTTTGTGGAAACTGTGATACATATTTTTTTCAGGATTCTCTGATGATTAAAAAGTTCTAAAAGAACAGCATTTACTAGAAATAGAAATCTTTTTACATATCTTTACTGTCACTTTTGCTCAATAAAAGTATACATTTCTCAAACAAATGACCTCAAACCTTTGAATGGAAGTGTATGTTTGATACTAGAGCTCATCCTTTTGAAGTAGGACTACTTTTCCACCTGTATGAACTTGTTTGCTTGTACACACATCCAAATTTCACCGCACACCACAGACACTTTCATTACATTGAAAATAACCCGGCATTCTCCTTTCAGATCAGTTCAATATTACAGAAGAGAAGTAAATAATCACCTTCCCGGAATTTTCAGGACCAATCGCGATGCCAAACTCTGTCTGTATGAAGGTGTTGTTAATAAGGTCGGTGATGTCCTGGAATGTCTTTCCATAGTCTTCACTGACCCAGAAGAGATAAGGGGGACTTATGGATCATGTGATACAGCTAAAAATCAATCAAATGTGTACCAACATTTACACTGGGCAAGCGCAGAGCAGGAAGTGGAAGGATTCATTACACTCTGTGAATTGCATCATTAAAAACTGCTAAATCCTTCTAGCTAGAACTTGGACACAGTCTTAAAAGACACTCTTACCTTCTGTACAGTCTGGACTGACCAAACCGCATGATAAAAAGAGGAACCTGAAATGTGGTCAGCACCAGCAGAACCTGCACAGGAGAGGGACACTGTAAATATTATAGCATGTGCATGTGAAATACTCAGAGTCATTCAGAAACTCACAGTGCAGTGAAGCATTCATAGAGATTTAAACTCTGGCTCGGCCGAGATACTGCGGGACACATGCCTAGACTTGAGCACAGCCACAATCTCACCCTTCACACTTACTTTATCCAGCTATCACTCAAGTTCAGGCGCTTGCTTGCAGAGACGATTCTGATTGGACGGTGAGTAATTCTCATTTAACTCCTGTCTCTATCTTTTAAAGTCAAAATGAAATAGTATTTGCAATCCATTCTACTTCTATAATGTGACACATTTCCCCCAAAATAAATTAAAAATCATTAATCAGTAGTCCACACTGTTTAGGTGTTATCAGCTGAAAAGGAAAGTCGTTTCAGAGGCAGAGCAAGTTATTATATTTAAATGAAAATTTACAACAGAAAATATTTTTGATGAATTGCGTATTAAATAACCCGTCAAAAGCAAAGCTTTATGGCTTTTAGTAAATGTCTGTTAGCTTTCAGGGCAGACAAATATGCTAGGCTAGAGGTTTTTAAACTGGAAAAAATAGAAAAATACTATTTAAAAAAAGATGAAAATAAAGAATTGCATGGATGAATGAATAAATAAATAACGTTCTAAGTTTCTCTTTACTTAATAGAAAGTAAATAATTAATCTTTCAGCCTTTCTCTTCTGGGAAAAATGGACCAAAAATATTAATGACTCGTCCTGCACTATACAGATTTTTTTCTAGTCATATAGTTTCTACATTGAAAATGTAAACTAAAGGTTATTTAAAACACAGGGACTTAAGGGATTCTTGTCTTTAAAAACGCAAATAGTATCAATTTTTATTTATGTTTCTTCTTACAAAAGAAAGATTTCTGGGAAGTCCTTTCTTTACATGCCTGAAAAAAACAGGTTAAACAGAACAATATTTGTTAGAGGTGCAATAAGTAATTGCTGAAAGGGTGCTAATTATGGCGCCTCAAAAATAGAAAAGGTGTCTCAAAAGGCGCCGCTCTTTGAAAATGTTTGCACAGACTTAACAGAAATGTATTCGAGTGTTGTTGTTGCTGGGTGAAGGCTGGGCTGCAAGAGTAATTACAGCTTGTACATGTTTTACAGCTGCACTTTGGTTCAGTTGTATAAGAGACGGATTCAGCCTCGAGTGTTGTTGGCGCTAAATGGCGGTTTGAGGTCTTGTCAAGCCAGGCTATGAAGAGTCTTTCAGGCTCTGGAGCTGTAATTCACTTGTTCCTGTTTCGCATTGACGTGTGATTGTAAGGGTCACATTCCTGCGAGTCAGATCATGGAGCGACCACAGAACAGCTTAGTAGCTAAATGACTTGAGTTGAACGTACAATTACACATTCGTTGATCCCCTACTGGTTAGTAAACAGAGTGGAAGTAACTTAGTGAATTAGAAGGATTGAGGCTAATTAGAAATTTGTTGGTTCAAATCCCAAAGTAGAGAGGAATTTTAAATCAGGGCCAAAATATTTCTGTGTCTATGTATAATACAATTTAAATGTAATTTACTCTTGTGGTGGTAAAGCTGAATTTTCAGCATCATTACTCCAGTCTTCAGTGTCACATGATCCATCAGAAATCATTCTAATATGCTGATTTGATGGTCAAGAACATTTCTTATTGTCAATGTTGAAAACAGTTAAAAAGAACAGCATTTACTCTTTACAGTCATTTTTTAAAATCAATTTTACACTGCCTTGATGAATGAATAAATAAATAAACATATTGACCCCAAACTTTTTATCGGTATATTTAAAGGGTTAGTTCACCCAAAAATGAAAATTAGTCCATGAATGACTCACCCTCAAGGCATCCTAGGTGTATTTGACTTCCTCCTTTCAGACGAATCCAGTCGGAGTTATATTAAAAATTTACTTTGATCTTTCAAGCCGTTTAATGGCAGTCAGCGTTGTTGCAGTGCATCAGTCCAAAAGAAGTGAAATAAAGCACATCCATCCATAATAGAAAGTGTCTCACACGGGGGGGGGGGGTTAAACAAAGTCCTCCTGTAGCGAATCGATGCGTTTTTGTAAGAAAAATAACCATATTTAAAAAGTAATAATCACTTTAATCTAGCTTGCGCTCACTGCTGTACACGGAAGCAGCTCCGGGCGGATGATGTATGAGGTCGGCTTTGCGAATGCGCCGCTCAGAAGTGACGAACGCGGAAGCGCAGGGGAGAGATCAAAACAACGGTCACAAATTAGAAGTACAAAATGAGAATTTGTAAAGAAGAATGTCAGAGGATTTCGATATAAGCCAAGAGGAGATTGGTTTTCCTTTGCTAAAGTAAGGAAACTTTGCTTCCTTTAATCCTGTAAACAAACGTTGGTTTTCACGAGACTCACCAGTGCATGTGCAACGCCGACCTCATACGTCATGCTCCCGGAGCTGCTTCCGTGTACAACTGTTGGCGCAAGCTACATTAAAGTGATTATTATGTTTTGAATATGGATATTTTTCTTACAAAAATGCATCGATTCGCTACAGGAGGCCTTTGTTCCCCCCCCCGGAGCCGTGTAAGGTACTTTTTATTATGGATGGATGCGCTTTATTTCACTTCTTTTGGACTGATGAAATGCAACACCCGCTGAGTGGCATTAAACAGCTTGGAAGATCAAAGTACATTTTTAATATAACTCCGATTGGATTCATCTGAAAGAAGGAAATCATATACGCCTATAATGGCTTGAGGGTGAGTAATTCATGGGCTAATTTTCATTTTTGGGTGAACTATCCCTTTAAGGAGAAAATGTGGGACTAAGTAAAATTAGTTAATAATAATAATTTCTAGCTCCAATGTATTCAACATCAACTTAATAAATTACACAATTCACCTTGAATTGCTGGATACAGTTGATGTAGACAGTCCAAAATCTTCATTTTACCAAAACTTGATGCATTTAAAATTAGATATTTTTTCATTCTATGGTACTGGATTCTTATGTTAGATAATTAGTACTCACCCCTGTGCCGTCTCCAACCCAGGCCAGAGACACCGAGCCACTCAGGTCATTGAAGTTATACTAAAAAAAAAAGAGATGGAGACATAATAAAGATCGCATGATTGCAAATAAACATTGTAGTTAAAATTCTAGAGACGGATCATCTTAATAATCCCTGCACCGTCAACGTGAATTTATGAAATTTTCTCTCCAAAAATAACCTGCATAAATCAAAATAAATTCAAACTAAAACAAAACATTTTCATTAGCACCACCACATTTGGGCTCTAAAATCTCCTTTATCATAATATTGTTCTCCCAGTCCTAATGCAGGTTTGTTTTCAGAACGCTTCTGCGGTGAAACTAAACACCACAGGCTGTTTTACTGTAGTCCACATGGATGGAATTGCAGGTTGGATTCAGACTAAAAATATAAAACAATAAAAAAAAAAAAAAAGACTAAAAACAGGGCTCCAAACCACAGCTTTACATAGCTAAAAATAAGAAACATCCAGTACAGAACAGAAAGTAGTCACACAAATACTTAACTAAAAAAGCTAATTTGAGAAAAAAAGCATACTTTAATTCTTGTTTCTGTATTACAGACAGCAAACGGCAATTTATATGCACATTTTCAATGCAAATGTATAAATGTTTTGATTTGACAGCTTTCCAATCCTTCAGAGACAAAATCAGACATAATTTAGACAATTGTTGACATACAATAAAAAACATATAAAATTGATGTAGACTCTTTGCTCAGAAAATTTGATCTTGGAAGAATTTAGTCTAATAATTAAGTTGAATCTGTTGAGATATTCTTGAGATTTCTTTTAAAATACTAAACGAGATACATGCGAGTCGTAGTGTCTTTTCATCAGGAGAAAAATCTGAAAAGCAGGACACTTCTCCATTTAATCTCATTACTCAATATGAATAACGGAGACATTAAACGACCCTTTATAAAAGTTAAACTGATCAATAATCAGCTACATAAAAACCACTACATAAAATGCCATTCAGATGTAGTGTGTAATAAAAGGCAACTATGTAAACACATTTACAGTGCTTAATCAGAAAAAAACCTGGTGATTCTAGGAAGAAAAACACAAGTGCTGGGATTTATCTTTCCACAGGGAAGCGGAACCATGTCGCGACATGCACACAGAAACCACTGCTGATCCGACAGATGGCTGTGCCGTTGTCAGCCGCCCCACACTGCTAGGGAATATGTGTTTGTGTGTGTGTTAGGGCACATTTAAGAGGACAGGCCCGCTGTCAGTCGAGTGTGCAACCTCCCTTTCAGTTTCATTCGCTGGAATGCGAGACCCAGATGGTGTGTGTATGTGTGTGTGTGTGGAACAGAGCGAGTGCCCCACATTTTCATCTACCTCACACACTGAGCACAAGAGAGTAACTGATGTCCAAGAGATTGTGGGAGAGAAAAGGAGGGAAAAGAATAAAGAGAGTCCAAAGACACATACACTGGCTCTGTTCCAAAAGCTAGTGAGCTGCTTGGTAGGGTTGCACGATTATGAAAAAAATCATAATTGTCGATTATTCCCTTGAAATTGTAACTGCGATTATTAATTGCGATTATCACAATTTACATTGAATGATGTTTATACCATTGTTTTATGCAAGTGCATGCCGTATTTTTATATGAAAATAAACAAGCTGAAAACACTCTAACTGAAAAACCTTTAGTGCTTTTCTATAGTATTAAGCCTCAAATGTCAACTAAACATCGGATTGGTTTCTTCTTTAAATTATAAAAAGGTAAAAATATGTATGGTATTATAATGTTATACTAAAACTAAAATTAAAATAATGGGGAAAACCCTTAAGATAACATGTAGAAAGAAAAAAACATCTTAAGCACGCAGAATAACATAAGGGGACTTTGAACGATTAATTGTCGCTTTGAACGATTACGTAATTGTGGCATCCATAATTGTAATCGCGATTAGAAATTCGATTAACCCTACTGCTTGGCTATTACTACACAGGCATTTGCCTCTGATATAGAATTTTGTAAGTGGACGCTCTACATAGACAACAATTCCTGCTTCGTTATGAGAAATGCACAGAGGACGATTAAATCAATTTCATTAGAGTATGTTGCTAAACTAATAACATGACACAAAGCATGTACATGTGGGTAAAATACTGTGCTGTTGCAAAGCATACTGGGATTTTTTTTTTTTGCAAAGAATAAATAAAAGATTTTAGTTAAAAGTAATGTTGCCAATTTAGAACAGACTAGAAGTGTTCCTATCATGTCTTAAAATGGTGCCAATGTAGGCAGATCACTATGTTTTGGCACAGAGACATACATTCCTGGGTGTTTTTTATTTAATGGAGGAAAATAATGTGGTAACAGGGCTGTGTGTAAAATATGCTAATCATTAAGTATTTAAAAAGTAATAAAAAAGTTTTTTGATACAATGGGTTGAATATGAATGTTAGAATAATGACAATTAGGCATTAATAAAAAAAAAAGAATAATTACAATAAAAGACAATTTGTTTAGAAAACGGTATAGCAAAGTATTGTACGAGTAAAAATAAAATAAAATAAAAATCTTATAAAAAAAAGTTATAAAATGTCAAACATGACTGGTAAAACTGGATAAAAAAAAATAAAATAAAATATGTTGCAAAAGATCAAATAGGACAGTTAAAATTAGATTAAAAATAAAATAAAATAATAATAATAATAATAATATTTAAAAAATCAAATCAAATAAAACAAAAAAATCTTACATCAAACGTGACAGGTCCAATCGGATGAAAAAGTTAAAAAATAAATAAATAAAAAAACAACAAAAACAAAACATCTGTTACAAAACATCAAACAGGACAGATGCGATGCGATGCGATAAGAAGCGATAAGATAAGATGCGATAAGTTAAGAGGCGATAAGATGCGATGCGATGCGATAAGATGCGATGCGATAAGATGCGATGAGATAAGATGCGATAAGATGAGATGCGATAAGATGAGATAAGATAAGATGCGATAAGATGAGAAGATGCGATGCGATAAGATGCCATAAGATAAGATGCGATGAGATAAGATGCGATGAGATGAGATGCGATAAGATAAGATAAGATGCGATAAGATGAGATAAGATAAGATAAGATGCGATAAGATGCGATGAGATAAGATGCGATGAGATAAGATGCGATGAGATAAGATGCGATGCGATAAGATGCGATGCGATTAGATGCGATAAGATGCGATGCGATAAGATGCGATGCGATAAGATGCTATAAGATGCGATAAGATAAGATGCGATAAGATAAGATGCTATAAGATGCGATAAGATAAGATGCGATAAGATGCGATAAGATAAGATGCGATAAGATAAGATGAGATGCGATGCGATTAGATGCGATGCGATAAGATGAGATGCGATGCGATTAGATGCGATGCGATAAGATGCGATAAGATAAGATGCGATAAGATGAGATAAGATGCGATAAGATGCGATGCGATAAGATGCGATGAGATAAGATGAGATAAGATAAGATGCGATAAGATAAGATGCGATAAGATAAGATGCGATAAGATAAGATGCGATAAGATGAGATAAGATAAGATGCGATAAGATGAGATAAGATGCGATTAGATGCGATGCGATTAGATGCGATAAGATGCGATAAGATGCGATATGATGAGATAAGATGCGATAAGATAAGACGCGATAAGATCCGATAAGATGAGATAAGATTCTATGAAACATTGAAAATCAAGAGCCACAACTGAGTGCAGTCATTAATAATGTCTTACAATGCTGCCTATGTAGTAAGCTCACTGCGTTTTGGAACAAAAACCATGCACACAACTGGAATAAGTAAAGAAAAAAAATTCTGATATGGGGGCCAACACCCAATCTACACATTCAGATCCATTTGAGGCCTCCACCATACTCCTTTCTACGGATCACATCCTCTCTGCATTTCTGCAATTCCACCCAAGCCCCTGGGGATCAATGACCATGTCACAGAATACTCCATTTCTCACTTCTGCTCAGTGATGACATCGACTTACAATTTTTACACATTTTTTATTTTATTTTTTTTCATAAAAAGCAGCCGTACTTGGTCCAGGGAATCAAAAGAACCACAGCATTTTTGAATCTCACAAGCCTCCAGGCCCAATGGAAATTTGCACTCTTACAATCCAAAGTGTGAACAAAAGTTTCCATGTTACCAACCCAGCCAATGTCTTTCTGATGCAGCCCACCTCAAAACACCCCCTGAATGCTACGTGTGTTCCAGAACAGCATGAACAAGTCGTCTAAAACACCTGCACAAACTCCAGGGCCAGTGTTCCTTCTTAATAATGTGTCTTTGAATAATGGTTACAGTGGTTGCCTCTCCATTCCTTCCCATATTTAAACCAGAAGCAAAGAAACACGCTGACATTCCTGTCCTGGCCAATAAAACAGGCTTGCCAAGAATGGCTTGCACCACGCCAACAAGTCTTCGCAAATGGAGGATTAAAGGGTGATGAGAAGACACTGTGAGCATACAACGCTCCTTCACTTTGAAGAAGACCAAAGAAGAGCACATGACTCAAAGAAAGCCCCTAAACAAACTCATGACACTATCCTGAATGCAGTCCAATAAACTTATGATTCACCTATGAGTCCACACGTTGATGTACTGCTTTAATGATTGCTGGTCAGTATAGTTTTCATACTGGGGTTCCGGGATCTGCAGAAATTTTAATGAATAAATAAATAAATAAATATACACATACATTATATATATATATATATATATATATATATATATATATATATATACACACTGTATATAGCATATTAATATATAAATGATTTAAATTGTATTTATATATAGAATTAACGTAATAATCAGTATATGTATGCATGTATGTATACAGTGGCATGCGAAAGTTTGGGAACCCCTTGCAGAATGAAAATGTGAAAATGTGAATAATTTTAACAAAATAAGAGAGAACATACAAAATGCATGTTATTTTTTATTTAGTACTGTCCTGAGTAAGATATTTTACATAACAGATATTTACATTTAGTCCACAAGAAAAAAAAATTGCTGAAATTATTAAAATAACCCCATTCAAAAGTTTGGGAACCCTTGGTTCTTAATACTGTGTGTGGTTACCTGGATGATCCACGACTGTTTTTTGTTTTGTGATGGTTGTTCATGAGTACCTTGTCTGTTCTGAACAGTTAAACTGAGCACTGTTCTTCAGAAAAATCCTCCAGCTCCTGCAGATTCTTCAGTTTTCCAGCATCATTTGATGAACAATTGAGGACAATTGAGGGACTCAAACACAACTATTAAAAAACATTCACTGATTCTTCAGAAGGCAACACGATGCATTAAGAGCCAGGGGTGAAAACTTTTGAACAGGATGAAGATGTCCAAATTGTTCTTATTTTGTTGAAATATCGTTTTTTTTCCCCATTTAGTACTGCCCTTCGGAAGCAACAGAAGATACTTGCATGTTTCCCGGAATACAAATTAAGTACAATTTACCTTGATCTTCAAATTCAAAAGATTTTTGGCTCTTAATGCATCGTGTTTCCCTCTGGAGCATCAGTGATCAGACTCAGACTCTGTGAATCCCTACCACCATTAAAGGGTTTGCAAATTGGTCACAGGTCAGTGTGGACTACTAAGGTGCGCCACTAAGACTCAGACAAGCCACCTGCGTGTGGGGCCATGGGGCCCTCGAAATCCTCCAGAGCAATCACATGGCAGACAGGCTTTTCCAAGAGAAATATCTCAAATATACTGCACAATGGCAGAAATGTACAAAAAATTTAATTCTCCTACTTCTTTCCATCTATGGTCTTAGCTCCACAAGTCCTCTCCAGTGGACACACTAAAACCATGAAGAACATAATTCGGGCTGCTTTCCTGGCGTCTCACCAACACTGAGCATTTCAGAGAGGACAGAAAATGTTTTCTCTGTACATTCTCCCCAGGACCAGGAAGGGGAAAAACCTGGACATCTTTCCCTTGTGTTGAACAGTAAACAGTTTTTTAACCCCAGGTCCAGCCAAAGGAAGCTTTATACTTGATCCAAATGGCTTCACAGTCTGAGGACCAATAACAAACATGACTTCATCTCTAGACAGTAAAAAAAAAAAGAATTTAAGTTTAATAAGAGACGTGACTCAAGTTGGTCTTGAAAGAAGTGCTATTTAGACAGGTGGGCAAATGCTAACACATGAATCAAAAACATGCACAAAAATATCCTAGAATCAAGAACTTATACCATGTTTTCTTAACTGGAAAGCCATGGCGAAATGGGTAAGAGGTCAGCAGTTCATTAGATGGAGCCGTGTTTGTGTTTTCATTGGACTCGCATAAATAACTCCCCACTGGCACAACTCAGATGTTAAACATCCAGAGAGGAGTCTCAAAAGGTCTTCCAGCCTCCAAAAAGAGCATCTCAAATCATTCAAACACTTCATCCACAAAGCTGTTCGAATATGCTAACCGCTATACGTTCACAGACTTTATTTGAAGAATCTACAGGCACTTGTTAAAAAGACTTTACTGTGAGCTTGTAAAGTTTCTAATTGCTCTGGCAGATCATAAATTCCATCATGCAGAAGATGATCAGCAGCCAGTTTTTATGTCGACTGACCACAGAATCTTGCACAACTCCATGGTTGGTTTGTTTGCACATTTTGGACTAAAACAGATCTGGAACATTATACTTCAAACTTACCACTGCATGTATGCCTCTTAATAATGCCTTTAGATCATAAAAAAGATGCTTTATTGATAACCAATTATATTTGATCTATAATTTAGTCAATAAATTATTAGTAACTCACTGGGTAAACAGCTGGTGTTAACTGCGGTGTTGAAATTGTGTTTCGATTTTATTAGTCACGAAGTTGGTGCATTTACAGAACATGCCAATGCCAAGAATGAAATTTCAGCACATAACTTATCCTACTATTTGTGCCACACAAACGAATGACTCCTTAAATTGTGCAGCTTGTTGAAAAGAGGCATGCTATTACATTTCAATGCAATCAGGCGAAACAGGTGAAAAACCATTTCAAGAGACCAGAACAATATAGAGACTTTTTAAAGGAATAGTTCACGCAAAAAAATGAAAATTTGCTGAAAATGGACTCGGGACTTTCAAAATGCAGTTGAGTTTGTTTCTTCATCTGCAAAATGCATCCACAATGCTCAGATGTTTATCTGTTCTAGCTTATCTACACTGCGTGCACGAAACAGATGCTGAAATAGTCAAAACGCGACATTGGAAAAAGGCTAATGAAAGGGATAGTTCACCCATAAATCAAAATTCTGTCATCATTTACTTACCCTCAAGTTGTTCCAAACATGTATGAGTTTCTTTCTTCTGTTAAACACAAAGACAATATTTTGAATAATGTTGGTAACCAAACAGTTGACGGTAGCCATTGACTTCCATATATGGGAAAAAAAATACTATGGAAGTCAATGGCTACCATCAACTGTTTGTTTACCAACATTCTTGGAACAGATTTGGAGAAATTTAGCATTACATCCCTTGCTCACCAATGGGTCTTCTGATATGTGCATACTTCTCTCCTGAATTAAACAAGACAACTTTTTCACCATAGAAAGTAATATTATATATAGAGGACTCACGTTTTATCCGGAAGCAACGGTTTGAAGTTAAAATCATCTTAATGATTGTTTACAACAGACAAGCTAATTTTTGCTTCACAAGGCATTAACTGATGTACTGGAGTGGTGTGGATTATTGTGATGTTTTTATCAGCTGTTTGGACTCTCATTCTGACGGCACCCATTCACTGCAAAGGATCCATTGGTGAGCAAGTGATGATCTTGAATGGCCTGAGGGGAGTATATTTTCTGCAATTTTTTATGTTTGGGTGAACATTTCTTAGTGAAGAAGTGATATACTAAAATTTCCAGCAACGAATATATTCAGCCGAAATAGTTTAGGAAGGTTGAAATAACTCTCAGAAACAGTAACATTTAAATGAGCGCTTCCCCAATGACATGTTTCGAATATTTCAGCATCTGTTTCGTCCAGATAAACTAGAACAGGTAAACGTCTCAGCAGTGTGGACGCATTTCACAGTGACCAAAAATGATGCTAGATTAGCAATATATAAAAATTTCTGGCTAAAGGAAAACTTTAATTTCGGTTTTGGTAAAAAAAAAAAATGTAGTACTAAAAAAGGATGGGCTTCAAAAGTTGCAAGCATAGTTTTACAAATGTTATTTTGTTCAAATAGCACTGTTGAGAGGTTTCAGCGTACATGAAATCTCCACTTCAAGAGTAGCCTTAAATAAATATTCTAAGGGTTAAAATAAAGGTTTTACATCAAAGTAGGCTCTAACCACAGGAACTTTACATGTACAGTTGGCAGGAACTGTACGGAATAAACTACATGCAAGTTAATGTTCGAGAAGACTATCCAAACAGGTGTTAAAAGCCCTCAGCAAGGAGATGTTTTTGAGACGTTGCCTTCAAATTCTTTTCCCACTGCACTGTTGTCATGCCCCAAGCCTTTTCCCGTTTCAGAAACATTCCTTTCTTGAAGGAAACATTTCACTTCAACAGTCATTTATGCTGGACGGAATGTGAAAGGACGAGAGCCAAAAACACTGGCCATAAAAGCACTGGCTCTGTGTGCTTTCTAAACAACAGTCCTTCTCTATCAGCACTTAGACTAAACTCATGACCGATTGCTTTCCCTGAAAACTGAGTCAATATACTCTGAATCTGGATAAATAGAGGACGCTTTTCATAGAACAGGACTGATATGAAAGATATAGATTGGCATACATGTAGCTTAGCCTATCGTTTACCGATAATGCCTGCCCAGTGAGTGGTCACGCCAACTGCTGGTAAAATGTAAGTGATGATGAGAGAGAGAGGGTTAGATAAGTGACATATATAGAGACGCAGCATGTTCACTGACGGGTTAAGGGTTAGTAATCAGTCACTGGCCGCTGTAATGAATGAGCTCTGACTGGATCTGGTTAAGCAAAATCACCTGACAATGTGGCGTCTGTACATAAACACAAGAGAAACAGATCGCAGAGACATTACAGGCACATCAAGAGGATAGATGCATTTGTTCTCTTGGCATAAAGATGAGATCTGTGGAATGTCTTAAAGGAACATCAAACACTAAAACTCTGGAACATTGAATGATAAGGTGATGCATGCTGATATTGTTTTTATGATATCACCATCTGGAAAACTTCACAAATATATATATATATATTTTTTTTTTGAGTGCTTGTTTTGAAAAAAGTACTGGGAAAATAACATTTGCTTGCTGAGGAAGGTGATGTAGGTACATTATTAGGTCATCTCAGACCAGAGGCCAGTAGTATGATCTCACTTTTGTGATTTATGGTTCCTAGAAATTTAGGAAGAGCTTTCAAAGTAGTGAAAAAAATCATCCTCAATGAAAAGTAAAAAAAAAAAAGGATACTACCTAAATAAATAGACTTAAGCTTAATACACTTAAATAAGTTAACTAGCCAAAAATAAAAATATATTTCACAAAACCATAATATAAATTTGAAATAATAATTTTCACAAAATTATAAAGCTTTCCATTGTATTATATTATGCGAGTATAAGGAGTAAGAGATATTCTGACCTACCGTATGAGTGTTGTTTTTTAACGTAGACTCATAGCCGTGCAGTGCTTGGCATTGATTTTGTGCGGAATCTTCACTTCTTTTCATCCTGAGATGGTCCGGCTGCTGTGAATCTTTCAAACTGAGCAGATTTCGTGTTTTGTGACTCTTTAGAAACATGCTTTGCTCACTCCTCCTGGAGATGCTGGGTCTCTCGTCAAAGTCCATGCAAAGAGCCACTGAGCATAGGACAACCAAAACACAGCAGAATACGTTGCTCATGGTTTTCGTTTAATGTGCACAAAAATCTTCTGTCTAAATATCCATAAATAGCAGGTTTATTGGTACCAGAACAGACCGTGCAGTGTTTACACTCTGACGCATGTCTGTAGAGCAGCCGCTGTTCGCACTGCTAAACTCGGGGATTGTTCAAGATTAAGATAGGCGGACCGTCCGTTCGACACGCCCACTTTATGAATATTAATTTAGTCACGCTGACGTTGCCTGGTAACTCTTTCAATGGCGGTGGGTTCGCTTATAAATATTAATTAATTGAGAGTGACGATGCGCGTCAGCATTCCAATGGAAAAGGCTTAGTCATTAATATTAATTAGATAATAGCGACAGCACTCTGCAATTCACCAATGGCGAAGACCTGGTTTATAAATATTAATTGACAAGCAAGTGAATTAACCACGCCTTCTGCTGACCAACCTATCTTAGAAATGTCTTCCTTCCGATTTAATTTAACAAAACTACCATGCGTTTAATTTATTTTTTTTGCCATTGTCTTGGACTGCTGTGAAAAGTTTTTTTTTTGATGGTCAGCATTAAATTATGGCACTTTTTAAAAAGTTTATATAATTATTACATTGCTATCCCACCAAAAACATTTTATATTAATGGGTATCACATTTCATTTAATGATATTGCACATAATATTGCTGCTTATATTAAATACATTTCATGTATAAAACATTATTGTTTATTAAATACATTTTGTTGTTGCTTCTACACATTTTAAACAATGAAACTTTATGATGTAGAATTAATAAGACAGATTTCCAAGCCATTAATAAAATAAACATTTGTGACGCTGACCATGTTTACTAATTAATACAAAAAAATCATTAAAGGTATACTTACATTTCTTTTTTTTTACATAATTATAATTTCCCTCCCACACAATCAAGTTCACACCACTTTAAATGCATATTATTAAAGCAAAAAAAGGATATAAATTCTGTAATTCCTGCTAACTTTTCTTGCAAGACGTGATGCTGATAATATAATGAAAAAATACAGAAATTTAGATTAATTTATATACAGTGGGTACGGAAAGTATTCAGACCCCCTTAAATTTTTCACTCTTTGTTATATTGCAGCCATTTGCTAAAATCATTTAAGTTATTTTTAAACCGTAGGATGCAGCCAGAGTATTATATATGCAATTGCTGTGTGGTGATTCACAGAAAATTACACTGGATTTTTCATATTAAACATCAGTCAGGCTTTGCAGAGCTCCGTTCAGCTCAAGATATCCTTGATGACATCCTCAAGCTCTTCTTTTGAGTACATGTGAAAGGTCTTGTCGGGCTCTACTGTGGCAAGCTGCAGGCAGAGAGAAGGAAATTGTCAGAACCTTCATATACTTTTCAATTGAATTATATTTCACATGACCTTTGTGTATTACCTCAATGTTAGTGGCATTGAGTTTCTCCTCCATCACTTGTTTCAGGATAGTGAGAGAAGACTTGATGGCATCCTTTAACGTCATGGACTGAAAAAGATAAATATATTTTATGAACATTTGGTGGGGAAAGAAAGAGACACTTGCTTAACTTGAGACTGGAATTTTTTTTGGAAGCAATTAGATTTATGGGGAAGTCTTTTGGACACTGGCTGCTGCTTATTAGATTGCAGGATCACATGGGTGAGTCTGGTGACTAAAGTTACACTAGTAGAGGCATGACATACTGGAATTGGAAGATGGGTGGGGTAGATTTTAAAAGGGACTCTTATTTCCCAAGCACGTGGCTCAATTTGTTGCTGTAGTATTCTCTCAGCAGAAACACTTTTCCTTTGTGAGAATACTCTTGAAATAACCTGACTGTGGCTTTATGGATCAGATGGCTCAGTTATTGCTTAGACTTGTGCTATACACACATGGACATTATAAAAATAAAATGCATTAGTATTTTTGTATTATAATCATATATTATGAAGAATGCTCTTCAAGGAATAGTTCATCCAAAAATGAAAATTAACTGAAAATTTCAAACTCCTCACATGCAAACTTTAGATAATTGTGTTTCTTAATTGGAACAGATTGGAGACATTTAGCATTACATCACTTGCTCACCAATGGATCCTTTACAGTGAATGGGTGCCGTCAGAATGCGAGTCCAAACAGCTGATAAAAACATCTCAATAATCCATACCACTCCAGTCCATCAATTAACATCTTGCGAGACGAAAAGCTGCATGTCTGTAAACTGTCGCTTCTGGTCAAAGTACGAGTTAAAATCTCTCGATTCAAACTTTTTTTTTTTTTACTGGAGAAAGCAGTATTATGGATAGAGCACACGCATTTTAGCTGGAAGCAATGTTCTGCAGTTAAAAACACCTCAATGATGGGATTGGTTTCTTACAAACATGCAGCGTTTCACTTCACAATACATTAACTGATGGACTGGAGTGGTGTGGATTATTGTGATGTTTTTATCAGCTGTTTGGACTCATTTTGACGGCACCCATTCACGGCAAAGGATCCATTGGTGAGCAAGTGATGTAATGCTAAAGGTCTCCAAATTGGTCCCAATGAAGAAACAAACTTATCTACATCTGGATGTCCTGAGGGTGAATATATCTTCATGTTGTATGGTTAACTACGTATGGATGACTAGGGAAGTTTGTGTTGGCTCAAGGGATGCTGATGTGTGCATTAAAACGTCATTATCTTTACCATAAAACCTTAAAAAGGAAATGGAGATGAAGCAGAAAGAGTGGGTAAATGTACCTTGTGGTAAACCTCCTGCAAAGAGCTCTGAGCTCCTTCAGATGCTGAGCCGATAGCCCTGGCATCACACTGGACAAAAGTGCCTGAAGGATCCATGTGGTATCTGTTGAAAGAAGTTTGGTGTGATTTACATACTTTAGAAACCAAACAAGTCTGTACGGGTACCTAATAAATAAAAAACTAATTTGAATAATGATTATGTTTTTGATATTGACTTCTTGTAGATCCACGTGAATTGGGGGGTAGTATCACAAACTAATAAAATAGTGATTTTACTAATACATTTTTTTGATTGCTATTCAAAATGCAATTCAAAAATAAGCGCTGCACAATTTGACCTAAAAACTTGTGATTATATACCAATATAACAATAATAATAATAGTAATATTTGTTATTATTATTATAAAAGAAGTGCTGCGCATATATTTAATTAAATGTGCACTTACAGCTGAGGTCCTTTCTCATCCACACCTCCGAAAAGCAGAGCAACACCAAAAGGACGGCTCTAAAGATAAAAAATGTGGACATTTGTTATCAAACTACAACCAGACAACATTTCCCTGGAGTGAACTGAAAACCACTGCAATAAAATACAAGCCAGACGCTCATACCATAGCGCCAGGGTCAGCGTCTTCCTCTCCAAACTGCAGAGCGAGGTTAGACACAGCCTGCGTTACGCTCTCCACCGTCATCGTCTCATTGTAGGTAAACCAATGGTTCTGCAGAAACACAAGAAAACTTAAAATATACGGCATTTGGTGCAAGAACACTTTCTTTATCAACGAGACCACTGACTAATCATAGCATTGACAATACAAATTTAAGGAACATTCACTGACCTGTGTTTCCACTCTTGCTTTGTCGATAAGAGTTTTTGCATCAGCTATTAAGCCACTCATGGCACAGCCTGTATTGAAAAATGAACAGCTTTATTACACTATGTTGAATCTTTTTGTTAGAACAAACATTACGACAAGAAAACTAATTATTACACAATATCATCACTTTTTTTTTTTTTTTTACATACCAAAAAGCAAAGCCAAAGATATTACCCAACCACTAGTGAAAAAAAAAAAAAAAGGCAAAATAAATAAATACTAAAGAAATAAAAAATAAGTAATCAAATAAAATATGTATACATAAATTATATAAACAATCATATTACACAGGAGGTAAAAGACTTGAAGTAAACTATAAAATAATTCCATTTCCTAAAAAAAATTACTTTTCCCAGAACATTTCATTTTTTCCAATTTCAGAAAAAACATTGTATCCACTAGCCATTGGGAGGCTTATTAGATTTCCAATGGAGCAAAATACGGTGCCTAGCTATTAAGGAGGTAAAAGATAAAATATCAGATTGTTTAGAATTAAACTGAGACCAAATCTTTGGTATCCCAAAGACTGCTATAGCGGGACAAACTATCCATTCAGACTTCCATTTCGAAACACCCACTTTATGAATATTAATTTAGTCACGCTGACATTGCCTGGTAACTCTTTCAATGGCGGTGGGTTCGCTTATAAATATTAATTAGATAATACCGACAGTACTCTGCAATTCACCAATGGCGAAGACCTGGTTTATAAATATTAATTGACAAGCAAGTGAATTAACCACGCCTTCTGCTGACCAACCTATCTTAGAAATGTCTTCCTTCCGATTTAATTTAACAAAACTACCATGCGTTTAACTTATTTTTTTGCCATTGTCTTGGACTGCTGTGAAAAGTTTTTTTTTTGACGGTCAGCATTAAATTATGGCGTTTTTTTTAAAGTTTATATAATTATTACATCATTGCTATCCCACCAAAAACATTTTATATTAATGGGTATCACATTTCATTTAATGATATTGCAACTGAAAGACATTCAAAGCACAGAAAGCGTACAGCAGTGCTAAAGGTCATTCTTCATCTTACCTGTCATATTCTGATCTTGTCAGGAACATTTTGAAATGCAAATCTATAAAAATAAAAAAAGAACAGACTTGGATTATCTAACTTTAAATGTAGTGAGTTAGCACAAAAAACGGCAGCTTGCTATGTAAGCGGCGCGATCTTGGCACTTGATTCCACAACCAATCAGACACCGCCATCCCTTAGACTGATTGGACGATTTTGAGATAAAAGGCGGGGCTAAGAGTGATTTGTCTATTTGATTGGTCGAACCATCCTTCACTCAATGACAAGGCATGTTTCACTTCAACTCATTCTTAAATTAGCTATTTAGTAACACATCCAACGTTTTTAATGTTATATATGCACTTTTATAAACTCTCAAAGGCCTCAATAAGCAGTTTCCCCATAACGTTTTTATACAATTTGTTCTTTATTTTGGCAAAAACCATGTGAGAGCAGCACATACACTTGAGCATCTAACGTTAGCTAACCGCGTTACTACTAAATAAACAACACACGGGCCGTTAAAATAACTTTATGCAATATACTCTGTTGTTTCAAATGCTTTTGTCTGCTGAGCTGTGGTTTACTGCAGTAGGGCACAACATAAGTGTGTATCATGAACGACTTACCTTCTGCAGTTGAGGGTGAGTTTGCTAGTTTCAACAGTACAGGAAGTGTTCATACATAATCGCCCGACAAAAGCATTCGGCTCAACTTAGGTTCCTACCACTGTTGCCAACTCTCGCAAGATAAATAAGCAACCGCAGCTTCAAAAACAAGCCTAATATTTTTTTGGATAATTTGTTTTCATCAATATTATTTATCATCAATTATTTATTACCAATAAAAGAGCCTGCACCAACATATTAAACGGAAACCACCGTTTTATCTGAAAAGCAAAAACAGACGTTATTTTACAAAAAAAAGCAAACTGCAACAAAGTGGGAACAAAACTCATCTCCAATCACCTGTGAGCAGAATAGGATTGGAGAGATGGAAAGGAGAAAAACACAAGAGCTTCAAAGGGGAGCTGTAACATAGCCACATATTTATAACCTACTAAAATATAGGCTATTCGAACCATATTTACTCTTAATATTAGACTACTTGTTTTTTATTACAGCATGTGATAATTAATACATTACAAAAACATTGTAAAAATTAGACTAAAAGAAAGCCTCCCCATTCCTCTATTTCTACTTCTATCATCGCTTGGATTACAGCGTCACTAGGGATGGGCGTATCGATCTGAAGTATCGATATATCGATACTGACGCGAGTATCGAAAGTATCGATAGTCAAACAAAAAATATCGATACTAAGGTGCGCTTTATTTACCAGTGGTTTTGTTTTTTTAACAAAAAAATAATAATAATAATGCATACAATATGCATTGAATTGGACGAATAACCTTTGTTAGCGAGTAATTGTGTAGGATAGAACTATTTTCCTGCTCATCTGAACACAGCAAATGTTGCAAGACAGAACCAATCAATCACAGAGCATTCACTCACTGCTGACAGTGCATTCAAACAGGGCTGCGTTTCCCAAAAGTATCACAAGAAAGCATTAAAGCTTTTGGGAATGGCAGCCCTGAACAATGCTTATCAGAGGACAGAAATAAAAACATAAATGTTTGAGTTATTTCACAATAAACAAATTGAAATTGTAGCCTACATAGTTTGTGCAATTACAATTATTTAAATTGAACGTTGAAAGATAATATTGATCATGTTCTATTCTGTAATGTTAATAGAAATCACTGCCTTGAAAAATATCGGTATCATATCGAAAACAAAATAAGGGGTATCGCCCATCACTAAGCGTCACGTGCCTTCTTTTTGAACATGTTTTTTCTCCAATGAGGGAGAGGAGGGGGCGGGACATTTGACAATGGTTGGCTATTAACTGTGAGCAGACAGAGTGTCAATCAATACATTGAACATAAATCATATTTCCCTAACAAGCAACCATATTTTTTAAAATAAGACCAAAAAAACCGCAACCTGCGACTCGGGATTTTTTTCACGTAACTTTACAAAAAAATAGAAGCCCAAAGTCACGTATAATACGCGGACTTGGCAACTCTGGTTCCTACCCTATTGAATTAATCATGTCTTCAACACACAGGCTATGATTGTTGTGCTATATGTCGACCAAATCTAGTAGCTGCTATCTGTTAGAGCTGCATTCTAAATAACTTAATTATTAATCACCACAGTTTTCCCTTTATTCCCATATTTCTGCCTTTCTATCCCCTGCTTACTTCAGTGCATTCACGCATACATGTCTTTTAACCTTTATTAAACATCTTCAAATAACAAACAGGCATTATCACTGTTAAACATGAACACAGAATTTGTATTTTTTTTAAACTGACCAATAATAAATACCCAAATACATTTCAGCAAATTAAATAGCAAATTATAACATAAATTAAATTAAGGGGGTTAATCAATATTTTCCAAATAATTTAGAGAGTTTTAAGGCATTTCCCCCCTCCGCTGCTCTAAAGATTGTAATACATTTTTCAAACCATTTGCCACAAAATTTCAAATCTACATTTGTGTAAATAAAACTTACATATAATCAAAAGTGCACATAATTAAACTTTTTGTATGCACGTATGTGCAACAGAGATATTTATTTTCTTTCTTTTTATTATATATTATAATTGAAACCGGGATTTTTTTCACGTAACTTTACAAAAAAATAGAAGCCCAAAGTCACGTATCATACGCGGACTTGGCAACTCTGGTTCCTACCCTATTGAATTAATCATGTCTTCAACACACAGGCTATGATTGTTGTGCTATATGTCGACCAAATCTAGTAGCTGCTATCTGTTAGAGCTGCATTCTAAATAACTTAATTATTAATCACCACAGTTTTCCCTTTATTCCCATATTTCTGCCTTTCTATCCCCTGCTTACTTCAGTGCATTCACGCATACATGTCTTTTAACCTTTATTAAACATCTTCAAATAACAAACAGGCATTATCACTGTTAAACATGAACACAGAATTTGTATTTTTTTTAAACTGACCAATAATAAATACCCAAATACATTTCAGCAAATTAAATAGCAAATTATAACATAAATTAAATTAAGGGGGTTAATCAATATTTTCCAAATAATTTAGAGAGTTTTAAGGCATTTCCCCCCTCCGCTGCTCTAAAGATTGTAATACATTTTTCAAACCATTTGCCACAAAATTTCAAATCTACATTTGTGTAAATAAAACTTACATATAATCAAAAGTGCACATAATTAAACTTTTTGTATGCACGTATGTGCAACAGAGATATTTATTTTCTTTCTTTTTATTATATATTATAATTGAAAATACATTTTGAGTTCCAGCAAAATGCAATTTCGCTTTTGTAAATGAGGATTTATTTATTTATTATTATTATTTTTTTTAGGATAAATGATATATTTCTGTCTAACCCTATTAATAACAATTAGGGAACATGATCAATTTTAAAAACGTTTATTTTATATACACTGTAAGTGTACTTATAACACTTGCTTAATAAAACATTGTTTCATAAATTCGCGTCTTTAATATTTTTAATATGTATTACAAATTTTATGAAAGTCAGATAAATGAAACAAAGCAATTATCAACTAGAAGCGTTCAACTTTAGCTTATTTTGGGCCTATTCTGTGCATGCTTCTGAGGGATCTGGCAACACTGCATTGAATTTACCCGTGTATGTCACTTTAAGAGAAAGTTGAAATCACGTGTCTCGCTGTAGAAAGTTTGACAAGTTGGTCGACATAAGTACTCTGTTTTCCCGCTATCGAAAACGTTGAATGCCATTCTCTTGTGTCTTCTTCTTCTGTTAATTACAACCTCGCGATCTCACCTGGAATCGAAGTCTTTTCTTTTAGCGACGATATAAAAAACACACCCCAAAAACATGGAAATCGTGCAGGTAATGAACTAGCAACAGTTTTGGTGATCTTCGTCCTTTCCGCTCAGGAAAATCAAGCTGAGCGTTTCATCTTTATCTTCTCCATTTACAGAAAATCATGTCGGGGTTTAGTCTGGATTTGGGAGCAGTGAAAGAGCCACTGGGATTTATCCGAATCCTGGAATGGGTGAGTTTCTGCGATCACTCAACAGATCCAAATGTCACATTGTGTCTCTTTGCTGGCACGTTCATTATGACAATTGATAGATGGTTGCACATGTCTTTAAACACAGTATTATGTGATCATATCCATGTACTTTACACGACAACACGTTGCAGTCACATATGGTGCTGTTTTGTCAACAAGGGGCAACACCCATTTCAAAATAATGGATCAAAACTGCTATATCATCCACTATTAAGGTCATCATCAAAATATATAGACACCTTTAGATGTGTCATTTGATAGGATATGTGCTGTAGAAATCTTCTCAAGCGCACAAATGCATGCACATTTATAATACGCACAGTCCCATGAGAATTAAATGATGTTTGCATTGCCACATGCGCATTAGAGGCTCCTATGGTGGACTTCAGTCTAATACTTACTAAATATATATATACCACTGCAAACAATGGAAAATCTAGGCTATAAAACACAGCTATCTGCAGGGTTCTCCGACTGATGTGGGTAACTAGGCCTGGAGTTCATTAACCTACTAAGAAATCAGGCTAGATGTGAAATTGGCAGTCAGTCTGATCTAAAATGAAATTGTGATTAATCAAGAATAGATTTATAACTGAATAAAGCTTTTTTTCGGAAGGGAATCTCAGCTACTACGGTTTGCCAGCTAAATATATTTTTGTTTGTCCTCTATTTAGTCGAAGACTGAAATTCGATCCAGTTGGTCTGATTTGGTTTAGACAACCGGAAGTAAAAGCTAACTGCCACAACTTTCAGTGGTGATATGTGAAACTATACCTGCATACTCGCTGGAGTAAATATCCGACGGCACTGAAAACGGGCCAAGATCATTTTAAGTGATCCCAGAATCCCAGCTGGATTGGTGTCCCATTGAGCAGGCCATGCATTTGCATTGATTCTTTAAATGGTGTCTAGGCCTTAGTTTCTTAGCTATATTTATCTCATCTGGCGGGTCTCTTTCGCTTTTGCCAATGCCTTTGTAAGTATTTGCACTTTGCACACAATTTGACCTTGTCTTTGCAAGTCAATATAATTTGCGAACATGCGAGACGTTAGACAAAAGACAAGGTGCAATTTAACACAATAGTGTGTTGTTTTGGATCCTTTGTATGGAGGTAATGGAATTTCTGCAACTTAATCCAGACTGCAAAGGTGCTGTTTATAAATGGAGCACATTTCATCACAAGCTCATTGGAAATAATCCCAGTCAATGCAAACCCACGGCTCAAGATAATATGAGGTGTAAATGAAGCTGCTATCTCTGTAGGTTATACCAGCTAAACCCATGTTCCTCTTTCATCTAGTAGGAAATACACTACTACTATGCAGATTTGGTGACACAAAACATGATACTATTTTTTTTTGCTCGGTCATTCCCTGGTGATAATGGGTGATCGCCACCTATACTTACCTCAAACTTTTGAATGGTTGTGTGTCTCGGTTTTTAACCAAAATATTAAAGGGGTCATATGATGCGATTTAAATTTTTCCTTTCTCTTTGGAGTGTTACAAGCTCTTGGTGCATAAAGAAGATCTGTAAAGCTGCAAAGACTAAAGTCTCAGATCCAAAGAGATATTCTTTATAAAAGTTCAGAGTCAGCCACACCTACCTAAAACGGCTTGTTCTAACACGCCCCCACATATCTACCTCACTATGTGGGAAGATTTGCATAACGCCGCCCAAATGTTCAAAGAAAGAAGGCGTAGCTTTTATTCTCACTGTAGTATTGTTGACGCTGCAGCCATGTCGTGAAGACGCTGTGTGCTTCGTTGTGAAAGCGAAACTACTTCGTTTGGTCTTCCAAAAGAGGACGATATCCGCTTCGTCATGCCTAGAGCTGATCTGTGCTGGTCGCTGAGGGAATACATCAACTTTCACCGTGGACGAAGCGGAATCCAGCCCGGGGTCCGTCACATGTGGTTGCCGCTCATTCGTCGGATCTGCCGGCCGCGCCGTTCTCGACCCCGCCGCCTCAGCTCACTTTAGCCCGGCCTCAGCTCACTCTAAGCCGGGGGGGCCTCAGCTCACTCTAGCCTGGCCTCAGCTCACTCTACGTCGCTCCGGCCGGACACGGCATCAACAGTATGTGAGGGGCGTAACATTTCCGTCACACGCTTGAGGTATTCGGCCAATCACAACGCACTGGATAGCTGGCCAATCACAGCACACCTCGCTTTTCAGACCAGTGAGCTTTGTAAAAATTGACGCGTTTCAAAAAGGCGGGGCATAGAGGAGAAACAATAATGTACAGTATGTGGAAAATAATGTTTTTTTTTTTACTTTAAACCGCATAAACACATTTCATTACACCAAATACACCAAATAATGTTCTTTTTAGCAGCATCATATGACCCCTTTAAGCAGCACAACTGTTTTTTTTTAAAAGTCATGATAATAACAAATGTGTCTTGAGCAGCAACTCAGCGTGTTAGAATTGATTTCTGAAAGATCATGTGACACTGCTGATGCTAAAAAATTCAGCTTTGCATCACAGGAATAAATTACATTTGAGAATATATTAAAATAGAAATCAGTTATTTTAAATACTAATAATATTTCACAGTATTATAGTTTTTACTGTATTTTTTTTTATCAAATAAATGCAGATTTTTTTTTGAGCATAAGAGACTTCTTTAAAAAACATTAAAAAATTATAATTATTCCAAACATTTGACTGGCAGTGTAAATTTGTGCTTCTTTAAGGTGTAACCGGTCTGCCGTTAGTTGCATGAAAGTGCTATGATGTGGAAGAGGATATGGCTTATAGGCCTATGTCTTCATAAGCATTTTTTTTCCAAGAATGTCCTGAATTGCATCCAATCTTAGGAAATGGGCGCTTTGACACATTATTTACTTATAAAGCAAGAATGTCAGCCACTCCTTTAAAATCAGCATGTGTCTGCAGTGGTTTTTACTTTTAACCACCACAACCCAGATCTCCCAGTATTAATGCAACAATGAAGATATGGCTTATAGGCCTATGTCTTCATACGCATTTTTTCTCAAGAATGTCCCGAATTGCATCAAATCTTAGGAAATGGGCGCTTTGACACATTATTTACTTATAAAGCAAGAATGTCAGCCACTCCTTTAAAATCAGCATGTGTCTGCAGTGGTTTTTACTTTTAACCACCACAACCCAGATCTCCCAGTATTAATGCAACAATGAAGAGGAAGCTTTGGTTGCTAACAGGTGAACTGACCTCTGATCATGTTGACGGTGGTGGCTGGCAGGGACGGTTCATTCACACAAGGCGCTCTTTAATAGTCACTTGCTGCATGTAGGTGTGCGTTCCAGTGTGAACGTGGCATCGGCCCACCATGTGGTTCTGATTGGTGCCAGGCACCCTTAGTTGGCTCGCTGTGCTTCTCTGCGCCAAGCACCTGCACCGGCGTACGCTCAACAGGAATGGAGCCAAAGTCTTGCCGGGGTGAAGATCGCACACCCTCTCTTTAGAAAGTGGAGGGATTTTCTTGGCAGCAAAAAATATAAGGCTATTTTTAAAATCATTTTGAGGTGCAGACCAATATGTCTCAGGATCGGTTTATCTGGTTTAATGAAAGGAGAAAACAAACTAGCCTCTGTTGGAAAGCGTGTGGGGTTTTTATTTTTTACATTAACATTTTTTTGGTCAGCTATCACATCATTGCCCATAAGAATCATGTTAAAATTGATCTTGATTCATTTTTCATTAGAAAGTGAATGATCATGCATGAGAAAATATATACAGAGATAGCTTTAGCATTTTCCTGACAAGTATGTGTCATGTTTCACCCCAAAAATGTAACTGTAACATGAAATTTTATTTATAATTTTATGTTTATAATAATTACATAAAATATATTCATTTTAAAGAAAATGTAAAATAATTTCCAAAAAATGTTAAAGAAAATTAAGCCTAGTTTTAGGACCATTATAATATTTATAATATATCATGATGGGATTATTTTCATGGCCATTTGATTTTTGCACATCCCCAAAAATGTTTAGTATTAAATTTATACTATTATAGTATTTATTAATATTTTAAATAACTTTTATTTTTATCATTTCAGTTTCCATTTTAATTTATATTCTAGTAATTTTCTGTGCTTTTGTCTGTTTTTTTTGTGCTTTTTTTTTTAAAGTTATATAATTTTTTGTTTTAGTAATTTTAGTACTTTAACTTATTTTAACTTAGTTGCAAAAACTATTTCTTACATTTTACTGTTTATTTAGTTTCAGCCTTATTTCAATTACTGAAAATTATTTTTAATAATTGTATTTTTAGTTAACAATTCACAAACCACATTTTTCCCCCTCAAGACATTTTTTCATCAGATTCCCCATTTTAAACAGCAGCATTTTGAAAATATAATTCTCACAAAGATCTCTGTTCTGAAGAGAAGTTCTGCATTCCACTATTGTTTCTCCTGTGTAACAGCAACTGCTTCTCAGAAGAGCCTTCATTGTTTCTTAAACGGGGGCTTCCACAGAAGCACTTCAGTGATCAAATAGTCCTTGGAATTCTTTAATATGTAGCTGAAATGTAGAAGAAAGGTTGAACTTTAACATTTGTGCTTCATTTCCACTGACTCAGGCAGGGAGAAAAGTGATAGTCTTAAAGTGATAGTTCACCCAAAAATCAAGATGGTTTGCAATAATATGAGGGTGCGAAAATAATAACAGAATTTTCATTTTTGGGTGAACTATCCCTTTAAGCATTTTCCCATTAGTTCTTCACAATTTGCTAAATCTAAGATCTACAATGTCCGTCTGTTCCGCTGTATGGCTCTTAAACGTTACTTTTTCATAATTGCTAATGTATCATGTCACTTTTTCACAGCAAAACACCTTGGATCAGAGAATACTGAAAAAATGCTGAGCTGTGCTACTGTAGTTATTCTCACGAATCTGCAGAAGCCGCTTCCTGTGTGGAAGTGGAGAGTTTGTAAAAGGAAAGTGTGAGTCAGTGAGCGTTGAAGGATCATTTACAGCTTGTCTGGTGAAGACCGAGCTCTTACTCTGATGTGACGTCAGCAATTGCCACACGCAAACGCTGAATTCATGTTTTTGAAGTTACATTTTTGTTTAAACCGCCACTAATGGGACTGCATCCATTTGTTACTATTAATGTTTCTGATATTTTAATCTGTTTCCAAAGAACAGAACATTTTCACTCAAACCTAAAACCATACAATTTAAAAAGAAAAAAAAATAATTTAGTTAAAATTGTTGATGTTAAAACTAAAATAATTTTTAATTTAGTTGAACTTGATGCACTAAAATAACTAAAACTGAAATAAAAATAATACAAATTAAAAAAACAACACAGTTACAAAAAAAATATTTTGAATTGAACACAATATATAGATGGATGGATGGATGGAGATCGATGATAGATAGATAGATGATGGATGGATGGATGGATTGATGGACGGCTGGATTGATAGATGGATGGATAGATAGATAGATGATGGATTGATAGATGATGGATGGATGGATGATAGATGATGGATGGATGGATGGATGGATATATAGATGATAGATGGATGGATAGATGATGGATGGATGGATGGATAGATGATGGATGGATGGATATATAGATGATAGATGATAGATGATGGATGGATGGATGGATGGATATATAGATGATGGATGGATGGATGGATATATAGATGATAGATGATAGATGATGGATGGATGGATGGATGGATGGATAGATGATGGATGGATGGATGGATGGATATATAGATGATAGATGGATGGATGGATGGATGGATGGATAGACGGACGGACAGACAGACAGACAGACAGACAGACAAACGCCGACCGATGCTTGACGACAACTTTTTAATGGTTTCATAGAAAATACAATTTTCTAGATGTCTAATTATCATAATTGTTGTGTTTTTAGGTGTTCACCATTTGTGCCTTTGCCACCACTGGTGGTTATGTTGGATTCAGTGAGTTCACCATTGATTGTGAAAGTAAAAAAGAAGAGATTACTGCTCATTTTGCATATCCTTTTAGGTAAAACATCCAGATCTCTTACAAATTATTACAAATTATTTTTAAGGGAAGGTGTCATTTTTTTAAATGTTAAAATGCTGTCCTGCTGTTAGTCATGCAATGAGTAATCCATATGTATGTTGTTTGAAGAATGTGAATGTTATAGTTTTGTAATGTAACTGGAGAGACAATAAATTGAGCTCTAGTAAACATGTGACTTCCACTTATTAGGCTCCCGAGTCAGCCATATGAGATTCCTCACTGCAATCAGAGCAAGAACGTGACTTTCCTGCAGGGGGATTTCTCCTCCTCGGCCGAGTTCTTCGTCTCTGTGGGCGTCTTGGGCTTCTTGTACTGTACTTTCACCCTCATCCTGTACTTGGGCTACCAGCAGGTTTACAGGGAGTCTAACCGTGGCCCGATTATTGTGAGTCATCACTCATTTGGAAATATTATTGTGATTATATAAATGTCATTCAAATCAGTTCTTTTGTATTGCACTTTTGAATGTACTTGAACAAAATTATCTTTGTGATGCAGAATGTTTGTGACAATTAATATAAAAATGAAAATATGGTTAGTGAGGATTTTTTAAATGGTTTGATTTACAGTTTATCAATTAGTGGCCGACCAGTGTTTTTTTTTTCTTTCTTTTCTTCAGTAGACATATTATTAATATGTTTTTATATAGCCATAGATATGGTTGCAAATAAGAGATTTATTTAATAAATTTTGTTGTTGTTGTTTTTTTTTGTAATTTATTTGCAAACTTTTCCAAAGTATTAACAAAGAGCTTCATACAATTGCATAATTGTTATTTTTTTCCCACCCCTTTTCATCAAAATAAATACAAACATACATACATAAAAAAAAAAAAAAAAAAAAAAAAAAAAAAATATAAAAAAATATATATATATATATATATATATATATATTTTATTTTATTTTTTTTTTTTTTTTTTTTATGTATGTATGTTTGTTTTTTTTTTGATGAAAAGGGGGGGGAAAAAAAAAAAAATTTGG